CTGCACAGGCTGCCGGGGGCTGATCCTTCCCAGCCTCAATCCTCAGCTGTGAGCGGCAGGGCGGGACTCCAGAAACAAGCTTTGGGGACTGCCCAGAGCACAGATCCCATTTTGGGTTCAAACCTCCCTCCCTTCAGCCTCTGCTCCTGCCACATCCCTCATCCCACCACACAATCGACTGGCTAACGAGTCACAGTTCACAGCCAACAGGGAGAGCCCCGGGGCTATGGATGGGCACAGAGACCTTCCCACCCACACCCGCCGGCTCAGACCCAACCTCAGCTCTCTGAGCTGGGTCTGTGTCTGTCAGGACTAGATAAACAGGGTCTGACCGTCACACAAAAATGTCCTGGAGCAAATCCCTGGGGTTTAATGAAACCAGACCAGAAGGAATGGCATTAAATCCACAGCTGCAAAGCATCAGTGTTTCTGCTTCCCAAACACGCTGGCAAAACACTCCCCCCTCTTTCTTTTAGAGTCGTCACGTTGATTCCGGTTCGTGTTTTCCAGCACACGCCCTGAACTAAACGTCTGGAATGTGTTAGGCACAAGTGGGATGCAGAAGGTGCCTCCTCCTCGCCTTCAGTGCTTCCTGACCTGACTTACACAAGCCCCATCCCCTGCACTCAGTGCTGGCCCAGCCATCCATCCTCACCATTCCATCAAAACCAAAACTGATGGGGAACAGAAATAAAGCTGAATTACAAAATGACAACAAACTGTATCACTTTAGAATCATAGAAACATGGAATGGTTTGGGTTGGAAGGAATCTTAAAGATCACCCCATCCCACTGCCTACTATGGGCAGGGACACCTTCCAGTAGCCCAGGTTGCTCCAAGCCCCATCCAACCTGGCCTTGGACACGTCCAGGTCTGTGAGATGCAGTCTTAGTGATGGAGTTTGTTCTGCAGTGGCAGAAGTTACAGTTTCACACCCAAAATAAGATCAGAGTTGCCTATTTCTTCCCTGCTCACTTTTGACTTGGTTAAAAATACACATCTGGATGAGAATTTGAGGGAAACCCAAAAGCCAAAATCACCTCATAGTCCTCAGGTTTCCGTGACCAGTTTGGCCACAGCCTTCAAGGAGGATGCACTGGGAGAGCATTTTTCTGATTAAAGGCAAAAGTACAAAGTTGGGCTGTGTTAAATTCACTGAGGTTTTTCTGGCAGGTCTTGGGATGGCCTCAGGAATGGGGCTGCTGACTCCAGGTGAAGATGGAACCATGGAGAAGTCCCAAGCACTGCTGAATGGTCCCCCACCGTGCAGACATCAGACACCCCTCCCACCCAGCAGCCTCATCCCCTTAGAGCCCCTCATTTGCCCCCACCCATTCTGGGACCCAGCTGTATTTCTGCCATCCCTGAGACCCAGGTCTATCCTCTCACACCAGGATCCCCCCCAGCTCATGCTGGGAGTGCCTGCTTTGGCACTTCTATTCCCAAACATTTCCTGATAAAACCTAGAGACCTGGAGTCTTTCAGCTTGGCCTGTGCTGCCAAATTTCTGCTTGAGCCAAGTTTGTGGGGCTTAAATGGCCACATAAGGAATTCCTGTTCCTACTGCATCCAATCTCGTGGGTTTTGGTTTGTCTAAAGGTTGTTAAGGATTCTCCCTTCCTTTCCTTGTCCCAGTGCCTGCCCTTCGCACGCACAGCAGTGTGATGTTTGTGTTGCCATGGGGAATTCCTGACAGCCTCTCCTTTTCACCTCTCGTGAGAAGGGCTGGTGGATGGAACTTAATGGGATGAGTCACATCCCTACCCAAACCTGTCCCAGTGAGTGCCACAGCAGTAAGAGTGATGGGGGGGGATTTACAGCTTCAGGAAACACAAGTTATGTAAATACAAGTGCTTCTTTCACCTTGCAGTTCATGTATTGGAGGAGCCTTTATAAAATATAGCGAGAAAATTTTTCATTTTTTAAATTATATTTTCGGGGTAAGTATAAAACTCAACCGAAACTCATAACCCAGTTTACAGTCCAAGTGTCCAAGAAGACACCTGGGAGATGCTGTGGAACTATTATCTTTCCATCCCAAATGTGAAGTAAAGACCCCAACAAAAGGAGTGGGGGAGGAATATCCTTTTTTGGTTGCTAAACAAGGAGAATGAACAGGAAGCTGTGGAAAAACTGAGTTTTATGGCACATTGCATCTAAGTTCTTTGTGCTTATCTTTTAAGACTAAATAAAATAATCTGGAGACATTATCAAATTCACAATCCTTCTGGGACAGGAATTGTTCCTGATCAATGATAACTGACAAATTCAGCAACTGAGCAAGAAAAATTACACACATTGGGAGCCCTTCCACAAACTGCTCTCTAATATAGCCTTGGAATGGTTTCACCCTTTGAAACCTCTGCTTATCCTAGCAAAAAAATAAATCAGCATCCACAGAGAAGTAGGAGCCGACTGGTTAAGTTTCATCCCACAGACAAAACATGCCCAGGGGAATGAGGAAGAGCACTGGCTGTGGAACCATCCCCTGCCAAAAGGAATTTTCTTCTCACTGCTGCAAGCACGAGGTCAATGCTCCGGTGCTCTCACACTTGTCAGGTCAAGGGGATTTTATTCTGAGCATCTGCTGGTGAAGAAAAAGGCAAGCAGAGATTCCCAACGTCTATCCCAGCAGCTGGAGCCTGCCAAAAGGTCCAGGGAAAGAACACGAGCTCAGGGCCAAGCTTAGTGTGAGACAGAGCCCAGCAGAGCTGAGCTTACCTACCACACTGAGTCCTTCCCACTCACTCCAGGCCTGCCTGGTGGCACTTCCATACCCTTGGGGCAGAAAGCACCTTCCACATTCTGCACCTTAAGTCAGGTCTGACATCCAAAATAATTCATTCTCTAAACTCACCTTTTACTGCCTCCTAGGGAATGTACCCTTGGTTGGAAAAAATTACTGCAGGAATAAACCAGATGGACCAGGGACTGAAGGGAGGGAAATGAGAAATGAAGGACTAACTTTCTAGGCCAAGGGAAAACTCTGCGTGTTTGGCTTCACATCATGTGTCAGAAGAGGTTTATTCCTGCATTATTCCTCTCTTTTCACATTACTTTTAATACAAAGTATGGCTAAGGCTGTAAGGCCCAGTGTTCTGCTCTGCTGAAGAACAAAATAAGAACCCCTTTCTAAGTTTCTGATCATACAGAGATGGATTTTTCCATTTGAAATTTATGGATGCAGATTTAACAGAGGCTTTTTTTTGCAGACTGCAGTGAAATCACAGCTATTAATTTACAAAGGAGCTTCTGGGGAGCCCAAACCACTTCTCATGTCTGAAAAAACACAGAATCCCAGAGTGGTTTGGGTTGGAAGGGACCTTAAAGCCCATCCAGTGCCACCCCCTGCCATGGGCAGGGACACCTCCCACTAGCCCAGGTTGCTCCAAGCCCCGTCCAGCCTGGCCTTGGACACTTCCAGGGATCCAGGGGCAGCCACAGCTTCTCTGGGCAAAACCTTAGAACGAGGGGTTTTGAATGATTTTAGCAGAGGAAGGGGGGCTCTGGCACACAGACAAAGGGGGAACCCCCACACCAACAACCCCACGAGGTCCCAGCAGTGGCGGGTCGAGAGCTCAGTGCACATGGGGACACTGTCACCCCTCCACAGACAGTCCAGACCACCAGTTTTGATGTCCCTGCAACCCACAGCAGCACCTGCTCCTGCTTTTCAGTGACCAGAATCAGTCGTTGGATCCAAACAGGCCCGGAGGAACTTCCCTTCTTCCCCTGCTTTTTAAGAAATCCAAGATGAAAGGCAGCAAAGACCCACCACCCATTACCCACAGTGTCATCTGCCCCACACCATCCAGCTGTTCCACGTCTCTTCACAATAACAGTGCAAATTTCACAGAAATTATCAAAATAAACTGGCTGAAAACAGCAGGTGGCAAATATAGTTTTATCTGTTATCGTCTGATAACTCTGTGATAATACAAACTGTATAAAGCATGATAAAACTCTTCCATAAAATAGAGTAGGTACATATTATAAAATAAAAAATACAAATATTACATTCCCAAAGGGAAATATAACATTAAAAAGAAAATATTACAATAATATAATGGTACCAGTTCCTTCCTGTATTCCAAAATTCATGGAAAATGTTTAAATTATGCAGCACTAAGACAAGTTACTTTCATTTTCTTGCTTGATTTTAAACATGCACTAATTCAAACAGAAATAAAACCTATTGATCAATGCAGAAAATGTTATTTAATCACAGAACACTGCATGTAGACTTAGAGCAACCTGGGATAGTGGAGGTGTCCCTGCCCATGGCAAGGGGTGGAACAATGTGAGCTTTAAGGTCATCCAACCCAAACCATTCCAGGATTCTGGGATGCAGTGGCTGTTAAAATAAATGCATTTTAATTACTTCCCTTCCCGTGGACTTACAGATTTTAGCAATTAAAGTCTTTGGAGATGCCACTACATTTTCTGTGCGTTTGCAGAGTTACTTCAACACTTGTTGAGATGGGACTGAAATAATCTGTGGCTCTGCACCATCTTTTATTATTTACAGGACTCAAAAATATTATTTCAAATAACCCTTAAGACATGAACTACTTCACATTCTTACCTGGGCACATTTTATCCGTCCCCAGTAAACATTCCCACTGTCCCTTTGCAGAAATGTGATGGTTCAGTCATGGTCAAATGCAAAAATCACTGTCAAGTTATGTATAAACATTTTGGTCAGGAATACACAAACTAACAATAATTTAACACGCAGGTGCCAGTAGCTCAAGGATTCAAGCAATGTAATTTGGAGGATCAAAAAAGAAAATGTAAGAGGTCTGGGGTTTTGCTACGTGGTACAGACGTTGTTAAACAGCAGAAAGGTGGATTTCAATCTTATTTCTTTCCAATCCCATCTTACCTTTCAAGCTACGCCCAGTTTACATCAATTAAAAATCAATTACCCCCCCAAAAGAAACCAATGTTTACAATTTTATAAGGGAGGGAAAAAAAAAAAAAAAGACCCTGAACCCGATGATCTCAAAAAAAAAAAACCCTAACTGCGCATCTGTTAAAATCAGGATCTCAGCATACTGAAATGTGTTTAGTTTAAAAAAACAGCAGTACAAAACGATACTGGAACTCGAGAAGTCCCAAGACAAGGTGTGGGGGAGCGGGCGAGGAGCTGCTGGAGGGGTTGTGGCTCCAGCTGTAGGGGCAGGAGCAGGGCCCGGGCACGGCCTCTACGTGTGGTTGTTGTTGAGGTGGCTCTTGTTGAAGAACCTCCTGGCCTCCACACTGCTCAGGGACACCGAGCAGCGCGACGGGTTCTCCTTGCGGTACTCGATGCTCTCCAGCACGGCCTCCCGGATCACCTGCAACACAGGGACAGCTTGGAATGCAGGGAACAACAGGTATGGACCCACAGAAAAACCCCTGCTTCTGCTCCACCACTGAGCAAAGGCACTGAGGAGTTTTATTAAAAGTGCTATTTCCTGACTGGATAAAACACTCATTTCAATGGGGTCAGTAAAGGTACAAGGTCAAGTCACACAACAATGTCAAGTCACACAACAAATATTTACTAACTGACAGAAAAAGCCCCTTCTGATGATAACAATTCTTGCTTCCATTTTTAACTCTATTGAAAATGATAAATTTTATTAAAAATACTATTACCTGAATAGATAAAACACTCATTTTAATGGGGTCAGTAAAGGTACGAGATCAAGTCACACAACAAATATTTATTAACTGACAGGAAAAGCCCCTTCTGATGGGAACAACTCTGGCTTCCATTTTTAACTCTGCTCCACCACTGAAAATGATGAGTTTTATTAAAAATACTATTACCTGACTGGATAAAACACTGATTTTAATGTGGTTAATAAAGGTATGAGGGAGGCCACTGATGTCAAAGCACATAACAAATATTTACTAACTGACAGAAAAAGCCCCTTCTGATGATAACAATTCTTGCTTCCATTTTTAACTCCATTAAAAATTATGAATTTTATTAAAAATACTACTACCTGACTGGATAAAACACTCATTTTAATGTGGTTAACAAAGGTATGAGGGAGGCCACTAATGTCAAAGAAGCCACACAACAAATATTTATTAACTGACAGATAAAGCCCCTTCTGATGGGAACAACTCTTGCTTCCATTTTTAACTCTGCTCCACCATTGAACAAAGTATTTTTAATAAAACTCATCAATCCCTCTTACTTGACTGTATAAAACACTGATTTTAATGTGGTTAATATAGGTATGAGGGAGGCCACCAATGTCAAAGAAGTCACACAAAAATATGTGTGTAAAAAAAAAAAATCAGTGTAAATACAGCATTTACACTTGAGTCCCAATGAAATTCAGAAGGGTAAATCAAAGCATTGAGAAAATCCATATTTAAAGGATATAAAAATAATTATAGAATATAATTATTATTATTTAAAAAAGGATAAAGAAAAAAATAAATATCGAGAATGATTGAATCTTTACTTTTGCTTCCTTTGTCCTGATGTAACCATTTTCTTTACTATATTGATAATCCCCTCCCTGTGTCTTTATCTGGGGTGATCATTTACACTTGTCACTCTGCAGATGTTGGGATCACTATGTCGTGTTGCACCTACTATCAATTACAAATAATTATTATTGAGTTAGAAGTAGAACTGATAAAGAAATCAGTAATAAATCTTAATCAGCAACTGATAAAGAAATTTCCAATTTCCTCTTTTTCCAGTTAGAAAAATCAACATGCTTAAAAATCTGAGTATAAAATCCTAAACATTTTGTCTCCAGTCCCCAAAGCCCCTTTTGCTCAGTTACTCTGAATGGTTTGGGATGGTGAAATGGCAAAAACAAGACAAGAACCAAATGAGAAAGTCAGGCAAACACTGAAGCAAAGGCCTGTATGGAATATTTAGGGTTTTACTCACATCACCCACTCCCCCACTGAACAACCCTTAAACCCTCCCAACATACATCTATGTTATTGAGGGTGTTGAACTCCATCAGGTCATGGAGCCTCTTGAAAGCCTCGTTGGGATATTGGAAGTTGAAGGTAGAGAAAGGTGTATTTGGATCATCAAAAATGTCAAAGTCTGCAAAATCCTTCTCTTCCTGTGTTTCCCTGGGAACTCCTGCACAGAACAAACACAAAAACACCAGCAAAATGTTAGGTCTGATCATCCACCACCTGATTTTGGAATGGCTCTTTTGGATTCCCTCAGGGCTGCAGACACATTTGGGAGTTATTTGAAAGCCAAAACATTTGTGGTGCACAACCACCATGGCATTCCAAAGGAACAGGGATTCAGCAGCAGAAACTGTGCTCACCTGGAGCTTTGTACTTCCTGAAGTCGATGTTGGCCAAGACAAAATGGATTATGGTGGGACAGTCCTTCTCTGAAGAGGTGTCCTTTGGTTTGAACACATAGCACTCCTTCAGGCCCTCTCTGTCAAACACATTGGGGTCTATTTTGGGGAAAGGCAGCTTGTTCATTCGAGCCCATTTCTCAGCCAGCAGAATTTCCTGAAGAGATACAAAGATTCAGGTGCATGAAAGCATCCACTGAAAAGTGAGGAGTTTTGGAGAGACATGGGGCAAACTGGTTGGTAGAAGCAATTAATAAACTATTCAGGGCCCAGGAAGGACATGGAGCTGTTGGGACAAGTCCAGAGGAGGCACCAAGATTATTAGAGGGAGGAAGCATGTCTCCAACGAGGAAAGGCTGGGAGAATTGGAATTGTTCAGCCTGGAGAAAAGAAGGCTTAGGGTGACCTAATTGTGGCCTTGCAGTGCCTGAAGGGGCTACAAGAAACATGGAGAGAGATTGTTTACAAGGGATGGAGGGACAGGACAAGGGGAAAAGGTCTCAAGTTGCCAGAGGGCAGGTTAGATGGGATATTGGGAAGGAATTGTTGGCTGGGAGGGTGGGGAGGCCCTGGCACAGGTTGCCCAGAGAAGCTGTGGCTGCCCCTGGATCCCTGGAAGTGTCCAAGGCCAGGTTGGATGGGGCTTAGAGCAACCTGGGCTAGTAGAAGGTGGGATGGAATGAGATGGTCTTTAAGGTCCCCTCCAACCCAAAGCATTCCATGATTCTGTGATATGAAGGACTGATCAAATCAATCTCTGATTGATGACCCAGAGTGGCAAACTGAGCACCTCCTTCAGCCTCTCAGTCTCCACCACCAGCACTGACTCATGGCAGGCAAAGAGCTGGTCTGGCCCACAAAACTTGGAGTGACTTTACAGAGGGAAAACCATCCCTAATTTGACCTGCAAATGGAGTATCAGCACTATGGAAACCAAGGAGAGTTCACAAACACCAGGCTGTGCATTGTTCAGCTCAGAGTCACATCACAGCCCAGAGCGGCGTTTGAAAGCACACCGAGTGCAGAGAGCTGGAAAACAGGCTTTTTTCTTCCTCATGACAACTCAGTAAACAAAATAATTTGTAAACAATGACTCAAGAGCATGCAATGAGGGTGTGTGAGAGGGAGAGGGAAGGTCAACAACTTTAATCGTGGTTTTCAATGAAACAGGACCCTTCTTCGGGCGACTGTCTGAGATACGCAGGAGATTAAAAGATAGTGGGTGCAAAATGATAAACCAAGAGTGGAGTCACTGAGCTCAGCTGGCTAATTTCCCCAGCAAAGCACAATATTAGTGCTACCATAGAGACAGGCCCACTCTTGAAGTGGCATTTGCTCTTTGCAATGCAAGCAGAACCAGTGGGACACACAGCCAGCAAACACAACTGGTTCCTGGCCTTGAAGCCATGAACACAAAGCCTCTGCCTCTGGACTACATCTCTTCTTTTTCCACACCTCTTTGTGCCTCCGGAACAACACTCCATCCCCTTCAACAGTGGCTTCAGGAAAACAAAGGCACTATATCTTTTTCCCACCAATTTTTCTTGTATCAAAGGATTTTTTTGCCTTTTTAAAACTACAGTTTAGAGAAAACTCCTCAGGATGCCACTTGACTTCCAACCAATCTCTCTCCATGGTCCCCAAAACGACACAAAAAATTGCTGCTGATGAAGACAATGTGTAGGGTAAGAGTAACAGGGATGACCATACACAGCCTTTTGCACAGGGTCCACATGTGGAATGTTAAAAAAGGGAGGAAAAAGAGATTTCAGAGAAGATGGCAGTGCTGTGTCAGCAAATTTAGCTGATGGGGAAAATATTAATGACAAAAAAGGAGATATATTCTTATGCAAATTGAATATTAAAGGAAGAAACACTCTGGGATTCAGTGAATTAAGGAAAAAAGGAATTAAGGATCTCAGCACTAGGAAGAGTCTTTCTTCTCAGTGCTCTGTTTTTCCCAGTAGCCCCAAGAGATCTAGAGATTACAGAAATTACTCCTTTTTATTCTCCTGAAACTTGTTTGTCTTTGCATTTGACAACACTGATCTCGAGCTCGTTTTGCTACTGCTGTTATTTTCTAACATCCTCAATATTAAGATGAAGGAAAAAAATAATCTGTTTGTTCTAATTGGAATTCGTCTGTAAAGCAACAAGCAACGTCAGTTGTTTTTCAAACAGAAATATTTTCTGGGCTTCCTTGAAAATTCTTTTTGAAATCCTCTTTGAAATAAATATGGCCTTTTTTGAGGATCACAGAATCACTGAGTTTGGAAAAGACCTCCAAGATCATCAAGTCCAACCTTCAACCCACTGTGCCCACTAAACCGTATCTCCAAGTGAGAACCTCACAGTAGCCTCTGAAGTGCTGTTTTTTCTGTATCAGTTACCAAAATGACCCCATGTCAAGCCTTTGGGATGAGAAGGAGCTCTGTGGATGCACAGGTTGTACAGGCACAGCTGTGCTTTCCACACCTGCTACACAAAACAACCGTGTCATTTACTCCCTGTTTATTCTGGTGCCGTTTTGCTCTGGCCTGAACGGATTTAAGAATCCTGCTGACACCAGTGCTGGGATGATCCCAGGAAGATGTAAATGGACAGCTAGCCCTGCTTCCAAGAGGTTATTTAGCAATACCAGAGTGAGTAAGATGATGCATTTCTGCAGGATGATGACATTCATTTACATCACAGCACACAGGGAGCAGCTGGACAGAGTTAGAGCACCAGGGCAAGGACAACTGACTTCATTGTTTAATACTGACATAAAATAAAACTCTGCAATCAGCATGAAAGCAAAATTTCCATAAAAACAACTACTTCAAATGAATTTCCTTCCTTTGAAATAGCCTTCTTTGTGTTAGTTGTGCCATGTAAGTCATGTAAACAGGAACTGAGACACAGGGCACTATTCTGCTTGACGTGGAAAGAAATATTCTAGTGTTGTAGCTACAGCAGCACCTTCTGGGACCATCAAATGTGGGAACAACATGACTGGAAGAATACAATTGAGTCAACTTGAGCTCCTGACCCCAAAGGAGGGGATGGTCTGTCTTACTTACCTTGAAAGGAGGGCTGGAATCACTTGGCCTTGCTGAGAAATCAAAAGAGATGATGAGATCGACGCCTCTCTGAGGCCTCAGGATGAGGGGGTATGGCAGGTTAAACGTCAGCCCACTGTCCACAATGTGAATCTTCTTGCTCTTCACATCCAGTGGCTCATAGATCCTCTCAAACTCATCAGGATCTGTGCAGAACACAGGGAAACCAAAAAAACCCCAGTACATATGAGTTAAGAACTCAAGCTTTCATGGGTTTTCCAGTGTTTCCCCAAGGACTGGAGATTGCAAAGGATTTAAAATGTACAGGACATCCCAGCTAAACATACCACGAACTCAAGTGTAACTCAAGCTCTTAACAAGTGGAGAATGAGGTGGGAAAAAAGGAGCTGGAAAGGCCCTGTCCCAATGCACAGAAATGGCTCCAGGCAACACTGAAGGGGACAAATGGCCAGGTTTGATCCCAGCCTTTCCACCTTCACCCCATCAGCTCACACACAAAGGAAAGAGTTTATGGGATGTTAAGAGACAGAATCCAAATGCCCATCTGGCAGTGCCAAGAGGATGGTCCCAGACCCTTTTTGGTGGTGCCCAGAGACAGGATGAGCAGCAATGGACATAAACTAAAACACAACAAGGAAGAACTTCTTTCCGTGGAGGGTGGCAGAGCCTGGAACAGCTGCCCAGGGAGGGCCTGGAGTCTTCCTGTCTGGAGACACCCCAAACCCACCTGGATGCTTGTTTGTGTCCCCTGCTCCAGGTGACCCTGCTTTGGTGGGGGGAGGGTTGGGTGGGTGATGCCTGAGGTCCCTTCCAACCCTAACAATCCTGTGATCCCCTCAGTGTCCTGTAACCCCTGCCCAAATCTCTTCCCCCAGGTTCCCTCTCCCTGTCCCTCATCCTCCCCAGCTCTTCCCCCTAAGAAGCCTCGACGTGGCTCTGCTTTGGTGTGATGTTTGTCCATCATCTGCTTCTGTCCATTACACTGGGACTATCAAGTCTTCTTTTCCAACTACACCAAATCTGATGACCTCACAACTCACTACTCCACCAGGAAGAAAAAGAAATAGTGACCTATATCCATATCTCAGATTGCAGCAGAATTCCCTGTAAGCCACTCCCTGCCAGTGCTGCCTCAGTGTGGGACAAACCAGCCTCCTCTCTCAGCCCAACTGAGGGCTGAAGGAGATGATGCTTCCCCTGTAACCCCAATATTCCCTGGATGCAGCTCAGGAAAAAACAATCAATTTTTCTGAAGTCTCTTTGCACGTATCCAAGTCTCTGGATGCCCCTAAACAATCCCTGATGGACTTCAAACTTTTCCCATGATGGTCTTTTCTTGCTCTGGATCTTAAACAGATTTCCAGTACGTGGTTTTGCTTTTTGACTGAAAACTAATGCTCGTATCTGTAGAGGGCAGTGTGATCTAAGGAATGCTGGATAGGATAATATAATTATTTCTGGTGTAATTAAACTGCCCAGCACCTGCTTATTTGCAATAGAAGCAATCTGAAAAAAAAAGAAGACATTTTAAAGTGAAGAAAATCCATTCAAAATAATTCAAACTCTTATTCCTATCACTTCAGGATCCGTGAGAAAAATTTACTGCTACGAGCAGCAAAAAAATCTCAGAAGAGATGCTTTCACTTTTTATCTCTGTTGTTATTTATTAGAGGACACTTTTCTAAGAAATGAGGCCCCATTGTTCTACTATTTGCCTTGATTTCTAAGGGAGAGAACACTTTTAAATCATTGCCTATTGCAAAAGGGTTGTGTTTATAGCCCTATTTTAGAACCAGATATATTTCATAATAATGACTTAGCATAAATCTATGAAAATAAATTAGTACTTATCAAATTCACCATAATTAAAAAAATGGTAAAAATACACTTAATACATTTCCTTTTAGCACAAGTAGAGAAGTTTTGATTTCCTCTTCTTGTTTAAAGACATTTCAAAAGTAATTAAATCCTTGTTCTCTATAGAATTTCTAAAAATTGTGGAAACATTTTTGTTCGTGTTTTGCCTTTTCTTACTTTACAAAAGTTGTCCTTGGACACTTCCAGGGATCCAGGGGCAGCCACAGCTTCTCTGGGCAACCTGTGTCAGGGCCTCCCCACCCTCACAGGGAAGAGTTTCCTCCCAATATCTAATTTAACATCATCAATAAATTTATAATGACCACAGACTGGCTTTAGTGATTATAGGAGAAATTTAACTTATGAGTTTATCTCGTGCAGAGACAGATAATAAGAACTGTTTGGAAATAAAAAGAGAGACCATGTTCTAGAGACCAAATTTGTCCCAAACAGCAGTTCCAGTGGAAATATGGGAGATGAAAAGGGCATTTGCTTCTGACGTGCATCTGCCATAACAGTTTCCATAAACACTGAAATAAAGGAGCAGAGATTAGGGGTTATTTTTCCCTATTGTTTTCACGTGGCATTTTCTCAAGTCACTTTGGTGTGTTGTAACATCAAGTAAAGAAACAGAATAAACTGAGCTCACAATGAAATCATTGAAGGGGGGTGCAAAGCTTTGAAGTGCATTTGAGATGAAATAAGGAAACATTCAGCATAAATAGAATCTACAGAAAAGCAAATCCAAGGGTTTTACTTCCAAACCAAGCAGCTGGGATTTCTGCTGCAGGCACTGCAGCCCCTAAATTCAATCTCAGGAATGACTGTAACATCAGCTTAGGCCAGCCACAGTTCATCCTCTGGGAAGGTCTGGCACAACTGGAGACGTAAAGTATTATTTATATCCTTTTTGAGTCACTTATTTCTCCTTTGGAATGTCTGGTAATTAAGGAAAGTCAGTCTTAAAGCATTACAGACTTCTCTCTGTACTCAAGCTGACAGGTAAACTGCCAGTGGTAGAATAAATATGCAAAGCTTAAATGCATCCAGTGCCTTGGTAATAGAAGTATTTTAAATTTACACCAAAGTTTCCTTTCTATCTATCTATTTCCTTTCTATCTGCTCCTCTGGGCTCCTCAGCACTTGCAAGGAAAATTCACAGCATTAAAGTGCAGATACACTTATCACACCACTGAATGATTAAATTTTACAGTAACTGCTGAAGCTTCAAGGGGTTTTTAACTATTCTTGACTATAATATTGCAGTTACTCGTAGCTGTCAGATTTGTGTCTTCAGCTTTCTGAGCGTGGGCTTCAGCTGACACTAAAACAACTGCTCTTATGTGAAACTTTTCCCACACATTTTAACCCCAAGAAGTTTCAGGCCCTCCAAAGTAATTGTCTCAGAGGTGCAGGCTTGTTTTGTCAACCCAGAATTTTATTTCCATTGAAATTAAACCCCAGGAAGTCGATAGTTGATTCCGAACATTATCCACATGTCTTAATTATGCAAAATTCTCATCGACTGTCATTTTTTCCAACCATAAAATTTCCCACCCGCTTTCCTGCCTCTTTTACAACTACTATAAATATTAAGACTACCCAGTTGTAAACATCTCTGAGATGATAAAAATATTTAGAAAGTGGAGTCCAGATGGAAATGACTATCCAGCCACTCCAAGGGATTTGTTACATTAACAAATACACATCAGAGCGCGGCTGCTACTTGAGCTTGTAAATGACATCTGGTATTTACTGCTGCAGAAGGAGCAGTGGGGACAATCTCTGAGCAGAAAATAAGGGCTGAAGTGATGACTATTGTTACTGGGGAGGGGTGGGAGAGCTGTGATGCTATAGCACGGAAGGAACACGACCTTCAGAGAGCTGCAGCTCCTCGGTTTGATGGAACACAATCACGGAATGGTTTGAGTTGGAAGGGACCTTAAAGATCATCTCATTCCACCCCCTGCCATGCCCAGGGACACCTTCCACTAGCCCAGCCTGGCCCTGAACACCTCCAGTGAACAAAACAGCGTCAGAAAAATACTAGGAAACTAATTGATTGTCACTGAGAAGGTTGCAGTGAACACTGCACAGTAAAGCTTCAAAATCCAAATCAAACACGATCCCTAATTCTTCACATCACAGCTACTGTCCCAAACACCACGTAATCCACAGAGTGGGGGAAGACTTTGAACTCCTATGGCAAATTAATATTTTTCTGAAATTCTTCTCTTCCATCTGCATTCCTGCTTAAGCCAACATGAAACGTGGATGCATCTGCACATCAGTCACACAGAAATGTGAGTGGCTGGTCAGGTGCATCCACACTGGGAAGAACATGGTGCCAGCAAAGCAAGGATCTACAGGCTGTGTCAGGGGAGGTTGAGGTTGGATCTCAGGAGAAGATTCTTCCCCCAGAGGGTGGTTGGGCACTGACCAGGCTCCCCAGGGCAGTGGGCACAGCTCCAAGGCTGCCAGAGCTCCAGGAGCTCTCAGGAATGGGGGGGATTGTTGGGGTGTCTGTGCAGGGCCAGGAGTTGGACTGGATGGTCCTGTGGGTCCCTTCCAGCTCAGGGGATTTTATGATTCTACAAGTGCAGCAGTGTGTTGCCCCCAGAGATTTTTCAGAAGACAGCTACAAAATTGTGGCAACAGGGAAGCCCTGTAGGAGAACAAGGAAAAGTTTTATCTCATCAATAAGAGACGGAACAACACAGGACACCCTTTGGAGAAGGCCAAGAGAGTGAGAAAGTGGATGTAACGAAGGGCACCCTACACAAAAGCAATTTGGTCACCTCTGCCAGCAATTCTCTCCAAACAGAGAGCCACTGTCCCTCCACAAGACACTGGCTGGGGACAGGGGAGGGAAGCAGCAGACACAAGTTACTGCATGGTGCCCCTTTGAGCCCCCCCAGTCACCTCACAACTTCTGCTGTCAGTCAATCCTCACAGGAACATTCTCCTGCTCCCAGGTACAGGCTTTTATAAACCTCCTGGTGTGAACACCCAGCACTGTCTGTGAACTGACCTGCAACGGCCGCGTCGAGCTCGTCCTCCTCCACGGACTCCTGGGTGAGCAGCTCTGCCAGGGGGGACAGGGGGTAGCAGCTGTTGAGGTTCAGCCCCAGCATGAAGTTGTGCACCTTGCCAGCACGGCCCTCCCGGGTGTTGAAGAGGGCACTGTCCCCCACCAGGGCCATGAGCATGCGCTGCACCCAGCTCTCCTGGCTGCTCTCCTGGCTCCTCTCCTGGTCGCTCTCCTGCTGCTCCGGCCGGGCCTCGGCGCTCCCGGTGCCTGCAGGGGCAAGGACAACACCCCAGCCAGGGCGAGCACGACACCCCAGCCAGGGTGAGCACGACACCCCAGCCGGGGTGAGCACGACATCCCAGCCAGGGCGAGCACGACACCCCAGCCAGGGGGAGCACGACACCCCAGCCAGGGGGAGCACGACACCCCAGCCAGGGGGAGCACGACACCCCAGCCGGGGCGAGCACGACACCCCAGCCGGGGCGAGCACGACACCCCAGCCGGGGGGAGCACGACACCCCAGCCGGGGTGAGCACGACATCCCAGCCGGGGGGAGCACGACACCCCAGCCGGGGCTGAGCACGACACTGCTGGGGCTGCTAAAGCAAAGGACCTGGAAAAACAATGTCACAGCATCCTTTCAGTGAGCTGTGGGCTCAGGGAGGGAGCTTTGCTGCAACCATTTCAGAGGAACGGAGACAATCCACCCTCGACTGTTCATCTGCAGTGTAATAGTGTGGATGTGTCCCTCAGGAAAATACATTGGGAACTTCTTAGATGACCTGTCTGGATGAGGGCAACGAGGCTTTCTCTGTGCTAGCACTCAGAATGCAACTCTCCTGGGCTCAGGGACAGATAGACCTGAGTTGCCAAAATCTGTGCTCTGTGTAGACCTAAATTCTTCTGGATGTGCATTGACAGCCTTCTCCACCCTTTGCTGGTACCTAGAAACCCATTTTTCCTTCAGAAGGCATGAAAGAATGCATGGAAACGCTAAAATAATTCAAATTAAAAATAATTAGCATGGGAATTCTAAAATATCTGAAAATACACTTACGGTAAACTGCAGACTACAATTAATATCTGGTTTTAATTAACTGAAGAGCACAATGAAGCAATCAGACTTGTATGTCTGCAGCTAGAGCTCACAGTAAAAATTACCTGGATTGGCACCACCTTGCATTCATAAACTGTCAAAACTTAAATTTTTGGGGTGTTTTGTATAAGAAGATAATTCAGGCTCAAGCTTGATACTTTAAATCCAGCTTTTAAATGTGCCTCTTTAATCCATGCCTTAATGGAGCTAATTTTTTATATTAGTAGGGAGAAAACGAGCACCATAAAGTGAAGAGGTTCAGTATCTGTACAACATTCTATGGAAGTGAGAGGGATTGCCAAGTGTTTGCAATCACAGATTTGTAGGTAGTTCACTATGGCTACAAACTATGAGGGAAATGGAGTGTTTGGTGCTGGCTGTAATGATTAAACAGGAAACCCACAAATAAACACAAGATGTGGTACCACCTACAAAATTATTTTACACATAGGGGGAACTGAAGAAGTAATCATGGAACTGAGGTAGTGACATAATTCCCTGTCTCATGACACAGGATTTTCTCTTCTTCCTGTAGATCCTGAAATCACGAACAGCTGCATTCCCATCTTTGTTTTGGTTGTTAAAATTATAACCAGGGTTTTTTTTCAGTTGAAAATCATTGTTGGTTCCAAAAACATCATCAGAAAGCATTATTAGGCTGAGACTGAGTCCCTGATTAAAACCACAGAAATCCCCAGGTGGTTTAGATACTTCAAGATAATTTTCAATCAGATCTTTTCTTCCCACTCCCAACACTCCCTTTGTGGTTGTGCCTGTCCTGGGAAGCTGGATTTGGGTACTGTTACAAACACTGAGCCAAGCTCTGGGAATTTCCTGTATCAGATGTCATTTCTACAGGTGCTAGAAGACACCTGTGAATGCTGGAACCACAAATTAAAACCATTCTCAGGTGAGTGTTTGATCAAGAAACCCTTGAAAACAATGGAAAGTTTCAGTTTGCTGGGCTGGTGACAACTCCAACGTGGCTCTGAGCTCAGCTGCTTGCTGGGAACACACCTCTGGAGCTCACTGGCTCAGCAAACCACATTTTGGGGTGGATGTGGAACTCCAGAGCTCTGGGAAGCCCTGCTGGGCTATACAAAAGCTGCAGAAAAAAAAGAAATTAGGAAATGAAAACTGATCATTTCCTTACCTTTTGGATGCTGTGATTCATCTTCACTGTCTGAGCTGTCATTGCTTACGAGGTGCTTTAGCCTGATATTTTCTGTTAAAAGAAATATAAAATTCCTTTAAACTGCTGGGTTTTAACTCTCAAAACAGCTCAGAATTTCACAGCAATCTGAGTCACAAAACTGGCCCAGTCTTTGCAATAGAAAATACAGCTGAAAAGACTGGATCTGCTGTGGACATTACAGCAGCAGATATTGGCTTTAGCCTCCAATTTTGGGGCTGAGAAAGCAAAATGTAATCCCAAAGCAGTACCTCTCACCCCCCTCTGCACCACGTGTGCAACACACTTCATTCCCTGTGATTAAAAGTTAGATGTTTAGCTTCTGTCCTCTCAATAATTCCTAGTGAACTAGGAAGAAAACACTAATCTCTGTTAAGTATCTGCTTTTTTTTTAAAAAAAAAGGAATGCTTAACATCATTCATACATGTATGAATGGGTACCCTTAAAAACACTGGGAGAACAAAAGCCAAAATAATATGAAAGTTTTGTTGGAGTGTGTGTGAAAAATAAAGGCAGTGCAGTTAAACAGGTAGAAAATATGGTTTGCATCTCAGAACATCAAGTGAGAGAAATGAAGCCAAAAACGAGTGAACTTCCCTGGCAAAAATCTGCATTTCGGGAGGTTTATCTTTGTTTTTCAAAGGCAAAATGAACACTGACACAGCAGCACATTCCACTCCCCAGGTCAGCTTTGTAGGGGAGGTGAAATCAGGTGAGAATGGATTTTAGATTGGCAGTATTATAATTTTCATTAACTGTGGAGGGCAGCCTTTCTTGAAATACAGTAGATTCCCAATGTTTTATGAGTAGCCTCATCTTGGAAGCTTTTATCCTACAGAGACTGGAGCCAGGCACTGAATTCCAGTGAGGAAAACGTATCCAGGGGAAGATTTTTGAAGACTAAACCCCTTTATTCCCTAGTAAAACGTATGTTAGGAATCATCTCTAATAGAAACGTCAGAGAATCATTAAGGTTGGAGAAGAACTCCAAGATCATTAAGTCCAACCACTTGAGGCCAGTTAAAATAAACTGAATGTGGGTTGTTTCCCAATGAAAGTATTATCAACTACTTGATTTTTTCCATTAAAAAGTGAAAATAAAATAAAATAACACCTTTTTTTTTTCTCTCATAGAAGGATAAGTAGATGCTGGTGGCATTCCCATTCTTTGGGCTGCAAATTCCAATACAGGTTGTAATTTCTACCCAGTGCAGTATTAAAGCAATGACAATTACATGTTGCACTTTTTTGCTAAGTCTAAATTTAATTCCTCTAAGGTGGGAGAGAAAATTGAAGACAGAGTCACTGTAATATCAGGTGTATAAACCCACAGCTTCATTATGCTTGGGAATGAATACTGGATACAGATGACCAGCACTTGAAATTATTTTCTAAAGAGGGTTATGCCCCCTTAGATTTACATCCCACACTCCAAAAGTCCCCACAAAAATCACAAAAGCTGAGTCATCACATTTTTCCTTCACTAATTTTACTTGTCAGCACTCAGTGGGTCCTCAATGACTATTCAAAAACGCCCTCAATGGACAAACACCCAAAAATTCCTGAGCCACGGCAGAGCAGACAGGTCAAAACAAAAATCCCTGACCAGAAATGGAGGCTGACAAAGCCAACAAATGCATTTTTGTGGATATCAAATCATCTCTTTACAGCAACCCCCACGGAAAATTCATTGTTTACCCTCCCAGGTGTGATTTACACATCATCCTGTGGCCAGCACCAGCTCTTCTGATGTCCCCTGGAATTCTGGCCTTCACTTTGGTGGTCCCAAGGTGTCACTGGGACATCTTCAGCTCTGGGGTTGAAGCCACCTTAATATTTTCAGAGCTGATCCCACTTCCCAGGGTATTTTTAAACTGAGATGTGAAATGAGTCAGAGATGACAGGTAACATTCTGTCTCTCGATATCTTTAAAAAGCAGGAACACACTTTTCCATGATCACATTTATGGACAGGGATCCTCCAGGAGCAGGTGTTAACACTCATCACAAATAGGAACCCAGAGGTCTCATTTGCATCCATAAATAAGGAGGTTATCAAATAGCTGAATTCCATCAATTAGGAGACACAGACACCCAAGGGACAAGTGTGGGCTTTTTGTTGGGTTGGTTTCTCTGCTTTGGTTTTTTTTATAAATCATCTCAATATCCATTTTCTTTTCTTCCTCTTCAGAAAAATCTGGCTGTCAAGTACAATTTATTTATTGACCAGGTCCTTCCTTGTAATGCTGCCCTCTGAATGGGAAACAGAAGTGTAAAAACCTTTCACCATTAACTACATTCTTGAATAAAACACCATAAAGTCCATCTAAACCAAGCTAAAATTCTTTCCTTCCAGTCATCATACCATTTGTGTGTGGAATGAAACCAAAATCACTAAATCAGATACCAGGAGGTTGTGGGCAGAATGGAACATTAACAATCCAGAGATGATAAAATTTAGGACTATTTTAGTAATCCCTTGATTAAACAGTGCAGTGTCAAGAGACTACATAAGTGACTATTAAGTCCTTGTCAGCTTCTGATCTCCAAAAATCAGCATAACATAAAAAGAGTAGTTAGATTCTAAGAACTTCCTGTGGAGAGCTGGATATGTGTATGTAATGCAGCATCACTGAGCAGAAACGAAAGCGAAAGGAAGAAAAGAACACTCCTAACCCTCCTTCCCTACCTCTGCAGCATCTTGCAAGGTCAGCAATTAAAGGTAATTAATTAAATGACTCCCAGCAGTGCCATCCTCCCACAGAGGAGGACTGCACTGAATCCTGGCAGTAATTGCTTTGCACAGCAGAATTATTTACTAATATTACCTAATTCTTCTTCCATGGTGGGACCTTTATTCTGAGAGTTGGAGACACCAAGCACTCTGTTAAATAATATGGAAAATGCACTGCCCCAAACACCTGGAAAAGGGAAATAAATAATGAATGGAGGTCAGTAGAAGAAAAAAAAACCAACACATATTTTAATAATCTATTTAAGCAGTTGGTTGCTCTCTGAACACACCTCTGATTTTGGAACATGCTCAGATGTCCAAACCAGAAACAAAACAAGAAACAAAGAAACAAGAAATGCCAAAAAAATGTCTGTGAAATCTTTCCAATTAATCTCTTCACACTTTGTGTGACTGCATTCAAAAGCCCTTGTCCATGAACTACTGAAATTATTTTTATTTTTAAGCCTCTTTCTGTCACATACTCACCCATGAGGAAATGCAAGGGATTTTCATTGTACTTCTTCACCACTGTCCCCATAAAAAACTTGCTGCCAAACAGATCAGGAGACATAAAAGTGCCATATTTGGCCATACCAATCTCATAGGGACTGAATTCCACCCAGTCTGCAAAATCAGAAACAAAATTGGCCTTAGTCAGCAATCTCAACCTGAATAGGTTGAGAAATGAGAAGGAAAACACAGAAATGAATGAAACCTCTGTGCAAGCAAAGAAATTGTAGTGAACTGAGAAGCTAAATAATCAACAGGAAGGCTTTGAAGAAGCCAAAATGTTGATTTCAAATGCAGGACAGTGATGTCTCAACAGGGAAGGAATTCTCAGTCTCCTTTTCTGTTATCACAATCAACCTGGTGAAAAAAAAATGAGGCTGTAAAACCAGAAGCATTAAAGGAGTGATCACGAGTGAGAAAAACACAATGACATCTGGTTTCCATCTCAAGCCTCACCATAATTCCCTGCCACACCAAGTGTAATGTGGGTCTGAGGGCCAAGTTTCTTTTCTTTCAGTGTGATTCTATCAAAAATGTGAAAAGCAGGGATAAAAGTGGCAGAAAAATGATTGAGTATCACAGAAGTTGTGAAATATTCTAGGAGAGGTATTTGGATTCCACCCAAAACTAGTTTATGGTGAAATCTAAAATGCAAAGGCAAAGCTGAGAGGCAGCTGATAAACATGAATTCTAACACTGCCAAAAATATTTCTTTAAATCCTTTTTTATTGAACAGAGCTCAAGAAAAATATGGAATATTTCATATTCAATGCATTTCTGATCTTGGCAGAAAATTTCAGAAGTGATTTACGTTCTACTGATGGAGGCCTTCTTTGAAAATGGATTTTAGCTGACTTGGAAATACTTTCTTTGATACCAGTAGAGTCACTTACATCAGAGAATTCATTTCAAAAAGCAAACAACAAACCAAATTTATCCTACATTTTTAGTCTTTCACCCATTCAACTGTTTTCCCTTCCCTATTTTCAGCAGTGATTGATTTGACTGCTCGTGTAAGCAAGTCAGAAATAATTCTGCAATGGAAAGGCAAAAGAGACAGCTTTGAAAAATCCCCCCACGTCATGGAATGCCATCCATCCCTCAGGATATTCCTGTTGAACATGAGGTGAACACTTGTCCTGAAAAGGAAAGATTTAATCCCAACTGCAGCGAGTTTCATTTCACAGGGCAGTGGTCACCAATGTTAAGTCAAACACAACACAGTGTTTTCCAAATAAACCACCCCCAAATCTTCACACTCGCTGGAGCAGAAGGAAATTCCTTTGAAGACCCAGTGCAGGTGGCACAGTACTTCCCTTTAGCTGTATAAACATGAATGGGCCAATATTTAGATATTTAGAACCAGGGGGTAACAAAGCTGAATGGAGAATTAGAATTAATTTAATCTTTGAGAGTCCACCTTCAGCTTGAAGAGAATTTCTGAGATCCCACACCCTGCTTAGGGAAATAAAGTCTCTGCCTTAGAATTAGAGGGCTTCAGCATTAGTTTCTGCCATTCCAGAAGCTCCTTGAGACAGTGGCCACTAACAGAGACTGGAAGGTCCCTCTGAAACCTGGAATTTATCCCTCAAGGCTTCCCAAATTAATTCCGTAGCACTTAGAGAGCAACAGACTCACTCTCAGACTCATTCTCAGAGACATAAATTTACTGTAATGACTGTCAAGAACAAACCCCCCCAAATCCAAGCCAAACATTAAATTCCACTCCCTCTTTAACCCTGGACACCAGTATCTTCAGGTAATTTTTTTATCATTACAGAAGCTGTCATAATTAAAGTAAAGAGCTGTCTTTAACTAAATTACTCTAATTTTAATGTTCAGTTAAAATGGTGAGTGCAGTTCTGGGTAGGCCACACCACATGGGGTCCCAAATGCTCTTGGTGAGGGAAACAGGAGATCTTGTTATCTGATATAATTAACACATTTCAACAGGGAAGGGTCTTGCCTCCAACCATAATCAAGTAAATAAGCAAGTGTAAATAAATATTTCTGCTCAAAACTTACTGTATCTTTCACATCAGGAAAAACTGTTCAGTCCTATAAGAGGGGGAAAAAGCCTAAAATAGAAACAATAAAATCCAGCACCCTATAGAATGATATAGATGACAACCCAAAAAAGCAAACCCAAGATCCACTGCCAGAGGCAACACCTTTTCTAGACCAAAGTAAGGCCTTCAGGTGCTTCTGGTCTTGCTTAGACAAAGTCATTCTTAACTAAAGATGTTTTTAAAGCAGTAAATAAGTAATGCAGAAAAACAGCAGCTCATCTAAAACTCAATATACTTCTATTTTCCAACAAAAAAGTATCAGTTTCTTAAGTAGGAAAGTTAAAGACATTTTCCCATGACAAATTTAGCCTAATTTACACCTCATTTTCCATTACAACCAAAGCTTTGAGAGCAACTGTTCCTAATAATCATTTTAGGAAACACAATGACTTATAAACCTGGGGCAAACCACTTGGTATTTCCCTTCTCAGTCCTGTACAGAATTATATATAGACAGACACATCCTTTGTGTAGCATCTTGCACAACTGGACCCACTCTAAACTGAGGTTTCTAGATGGGATTAAAACCTATGGATTAAATAGGAGCAAAAGCCACTCCTGCATCACCAACAGCAGTTGACACTGGGCAAGAGGTAAAAAACAGGCAATATATCTAAATTGTTCCATTTTAATCACAGCATCATTCAGGTGATCATCAAGTCTAAGTGTTACTTTCACCCTTCTTAGAAAGGGGAATAATCCTGTATGACTGAAGACATTTCCCTTAAGGTTTTTGATACACTAATGTTAAGCAGTTTTTCCCTGTTGGAGACACCAGATTCCTTTTTATCCTGACTCCTGCTCAGCTCCTTCAAGGGGAAGGAATATTCTTTGCAACTGCTAGGAAATCACTTTTTTAACATATAGAGAACAAAACCTGGCCACCACTTCCCACTTCTCAGGGCTGTTATGGTGTCAGACTTATTTTCAGGTTAAAAAAACAATGGTTTTCCAAAATGGTCTACGAACAAGTCTCCAAATCCAAGAATGATAGAGAAATGAAAGGTTGTGGACCCAAAATACAGGCTATTTTCTCTCCACCTACAAGAAAAGATGCATCTTAAAGGCAAGAAAAAGTTCAGTTCCATAGTGTGCCACAAGGAATACATCCATCTGATGCCTCTTCTCCACAGCCCTGTAACCTTGGTGCAAATACTGCACCAATCCAGGGAATATCCACCTGCCCAAGTAAGTGATCCCGAACCACATGAATGGTTTGGGTTGGAAGGGACCTTAAAGCCCATCCAGTCCCACCCCCTGCCATGGGCAGGGACACCTTCCACTAGCCCAGGTTGTTCCAAGCCCCGTCCAACCTGGCCTTGGACACTTCCAGGGATCCAGGGGCAGCCACAGCTTCTCTGGGAACCTGTGCCAGGGCCTCCCCACCCTCACAGCCAACAATTCCTTCCCAATATCCCATCTAACCCTGCCCTCTGGCAGTTTGAAGCCATTCCCCTTGTCCTGTCCCTCCATCCCTTGTCCATAGTCTCTCTCCATCTTTCCTGTAGCTCCTTCATGTCCTGCAAGGCCACAGTCAGGTCACCCCAAAGCTTCTCCTCTCCAGGCTGAACAATCCCATCTCTCTCCCCTTCCCTCCCAGCAGAGCTGCTCCACCCTCTGCTCATCTTGGGGCCTCCTCTGGACCCTCTCCAGCAGCTCCATGTCCCTCCTTTAAAAAAGGGGCATTTTTTTTTGTGTGACACACACTTCTCTCTTCTTCCCACAAGTGACCCAACACCCAGATTGGAGCCATACCTGCAAACATCAGCTCTGACACGTCTGGTTTCACATGGAGACACGTAAAGAGTGGCAGAGCACACTGGGCATTATTGGTTTTCTCTTTCATGTTGCTCAAAGTGGTGTCCATTCTCTGCAGGAAAGAAAGATCAGTTCCAAACAGATCCTATGAAGGCATGCATGCATGCATGCATGCATGCATTTATTTATTTATTTATTATGTTTATATATATCAGTATCTATATGTAATATATCTATAAATATAGTCTATTTATAAATATAGTATAATTATATTATATATTTATATATATTCTAGATAAATATATAAAATGTAGAATACATAAAATTTATAGAACATATAGAACATATAGAACATATAGAACATATAGAACATATAGAACATATAGAACATATAGAACATATAGAACATATAGAACATAGAACATATAGAACATAGAACATATAGAACATAGAACATATAGAACATAGAACATATATAGAACATAGAACATATATAGAACATAGAACATATATAGAACATAGAACATATATAGAACATAGAACATATATAGAACATATAGAACATATAGAACATATAGAACATATAGAACATATAGAACATATAGAACATATAGAACATATAGAACATATAGAACATATAGAACATATAGAACATATATTCTGCCATTTAGATATATTATCTAAACTATATTTATATATTATATGTTTATATAAACATATTTCTATTTTTACATTTATATGAAGACTTGGGAGACTCCTCCTTTCTCTGAAATTTGAGAAGGAAAATGGACAAACTCAGTTACTTCTAGGAAAAACAGAAGAATTGGTACAAGGAAATAATTTGCCTGAATACCTTTTGGCTGCACAATTCAGGAAGGAAAGAGTGGGAGAGGACACAGGAGGAAGATGAAAGAAGGACACATTACAGAAGCCAAAATAACATGGCCAAAAAGCAAACAGAATTGCTGGACAAAGCAACATCTGGGTTTTTATTTAATCCCTTAGTAAACAGAGACATCCAACCAACCTCACACCATCATCAAGATCCCTTCAGCATCAGAATTCTGTATATCTGTCACTAAGAGCTGTGTTGCCTGTTTTTCAGTATTTTAACTGTTTAAAGCCTAATAACAATTTATATTCATGAAAGACACAACTGTATAAAACACATCTGTGACTCCATTTATACATTTCAATCTCGCCATAAGATCAAATCCAACTGCTGCTCACCTGACACATTTGGACTTGCATTCTGTGTGCCTGATTTAGCCAGGATTGTCCAACCCTAACTGACCCAAGCAGGATTGCTGAATAACAAAATACAACAGTATGAAGCTCTCCTGTTGTCTCTTTTCTCAGGAAAACACATAAAAACAGACAGAGATGTGGATCGTTCAACTTGAAATTAGTACTTTGTTAAGCAAATGCTGCTTTTTTTATAGCAAACTGTGCATGAAGAGGTCACACCACATCGTAAATTTTGTTGAAATGGTTTGAGCAGGAATTTTAATGTTGATACACAATGTCAAGAGCTTGCTGTAAGTACTCAGAGGTCGAGTTCATCCCCCAGAGCAAGGAAAGCATTTCACAAGTGTCTTATCCAGTATCTGTCTGGCTATAACTTTAAATATTTCTATTGTTAAACACGTTTTGCCAAACGTTACCAAGGTCATTTAAAAAAAAGTAGTAACAGTGGTTACTATGCAATAATTTCACAACCCTAACAGTGATAAGGAAAGCCCAGAACTCACATCATGGATAAGTGTTTCCCCTATCAGCATTCCAAAGATATCCGTGAAGGTGACAGGCTGCCCTGAACTCTTCTTATTCCACAGGGCTTCGATGTAGCGTTTCACTTTCTGAGGAGTGAGCAGCAGGAGGGGGTTGTGGCTCACAGAGTTCATCAGCTCTTCATTGATCTCTTTTGGGCCCTTTGCTGGAAAGTCTGGGTGTGAGTACAAAGTTGACATGTACCTGCAGTGGAAAACAGGCCGAGTATCAAACCTGCTTCAGTGGCAGTTGCCTGAAAGCTACAATAAACTCATAAATAATTTGATACAATTACTGATCAAATCAGGTTCATTTACTTACCATTTACACAGTAAATTGTCCCTTCTTTTTTCTCCAGGCACAGAAAGCTAAACCATTTGTTCTACATGTAAGCACACAATCCAACAATCAGCATACACTGCCATATGTGTATGATGGAAATGACTAAAGTGTCCTCATTTATCTGTTTAAGGGATAACAGAAAGAATCCCCCTAAGCTGTAGAAGGAGCTCCTCAAGTCAGAGGACTGAAATTTGGCAGACTGGAGGTCCCAGAAGTAGACACACACAGTTCTTTCACTGTAAGATGTCCCTCTCCAATTCACTATCATTATCCAAAAACTCCTACAATATCTCAGTATATCATGGAATCCTGGAATGGTTTGGGTTGGAAGGGACCTTAAAGCCCAACCAGTTCCATCTGAGCAAAGCAGCTCAGATATCCTCCAAACACACTCCACTGAACATTTTAACAACACTAAATGTTTTGTCAAGACATCTGCACTGTTTTGGGATCCAGGGGACAATGTACTGTGTGGACTGGCTGAGCACCACACATAGGAACATCAAATCATGGAATGGTTTGGGTTGAGAGGGACTTGAAAGCTCATCCAGTGCCACCCCTGCCATGGGCAGGGACATCTCCCACTAGCCCAGGTTGCTCCAAGCCCTGTCCAACCTGGCCTTGGACACTTCCAGGGATCCAGGGGCAGCCACAGCTTCTCTGGGCAACCTGTGCCAGGGCCTCCCCACCCTCCCAGCCAGGAATTCCTTCCCAATATCCCATCTAACCCTGCCCTCTGGCAGTTTGAAGCCATTCTTCCTTGTCCTGTCCCTCCATCCCTTGTCCATAGTCTCTCTCCATCTTTCCTGTAGTTCCTTCATGTCCTGCAAGGCCACAATCAGGTCACCCCAAAGCTTCCCCTCTCCAGGCTGAACAATCCCATCTCTCTCCCCTTTCCCCCCAGCAGAGCTGCTCCATCCTCTGCTCATCTTGGTGCCTCCTCTGGACTCTCTCCAGCAGCTCCATGTCCTTGCTGGGCTGTTCCCCAGGGCTGGAGCAGCTCTGCAGGGGGGTCTCAGCTGAGGGGGCAGAGGGGCAGAATCCCCCCCTGCCCTGCTGCCCACGCTGGGGGATCAGCCCAGGACCTGAGGGCATTCAGGGCTGCAATACTGCACTGCTTTCCAGGATCTGGATGCTTCCAGAACAAGCTGAAGCACAGTAAGTACAACCTGTGCAGAGCGTTAATTGACTGGGAGGATTCAGAAGAGACCTATCAGGCAAATCTTGATGTGTTACTGAGAAACAAGTTCAGTTTACTCAAAAACACAGTTTAGCCACACGTGCAGGAAACTGTGGCTTTCACCTGGTTGGATTAAGCAACACCAAGGCTCAAGATAGGCTGTCCTAATCTCCCAGAGACTGATTTACTATTATTTACTCAATGACCTGGCTCAGGTACACATCCCATAGTGCAGGCACAGCTCAGACACACAGAGTCAGCCTGGTCCTGAGGTCACTGCCCAGCAGTTTATCTGTCCCACGTGTGATGCAAGAACTTGACTCATGGTTCTGGCCCAGGCACCAAAGCTGAGCATGCACGTCAGCTCCTGGGTGCAACAACAGCAGCAGCTTCCATGGGAGCAGGGAAAGGGAAGTGCAGGATGGAGAATCAGCACAAGGTTGAAGAGAGATGGCAGAAACACCCAGGGAGGTCAATGCATTGCTCCAAGGTTAGGCATGCAGCTGAGGGGACAAGCAAAAACCTGTCTCTCCTGCCAGGAAAGGAATTCTCCACCCTTCAGGAAAGAAAAGAAAAGAGCATTAGTCCCAAGTACTAGATTGGATGGGGAAAAAAAAAAAAAAAAAGAAAGGGAGTGTCAAAGTGTCAATTTATTTATTCATCAAGCAAGGAAAGGCTGAAGAGGTGACATCAGACAGCAAAAGCAAATTTGTTCAAATCCAACAGTTTCCAATATCTGTTTCTGACTGAAGCAGTTCAGATAATCTATTTTAACACAGATTTTATAGGTTTACATTAGATCAGCTACGTCTTCACAACTGGGTTTTCCCAAAAAGAGACCTCAGAGCTGACGTCTGTTCAGAGTGTGGACTACAAACCCTTCCCTACAAACACACTCCATGTTTCTCACACTCCATTGCTCTTCATCCAGCCAAATGATCTCTCATGCTTTTCACAACTCTGAACAAAGTACATCCAGGCCTCTCAATGTACAGTGATAAATCTGCCCCCACCACTAGTGATAGAAAACCCAGATTCAGGGATGTCAACCTTTTATGGTCCAATCCAAATGAGAAAGTTACTCTAGTTCATAGACACTCCTGGCATTTCAAGACCTCCTGGCATTCTGAAAGCTTCCATCTAGTCTGGAATTGGGGAAGCAACCTCCAAACAGTGGAAAATAACTGACAAAAAACCCCACACAAGGAACAGGACTGGTCATTATCTGTTTCAAAGAAATTAGTAACTCCTGAGGTTAAGATGTGTGGAACCAAAATTCAGGTGCTTCCTTAGCGTTAAACCAGGGGATAAAACTCATCCCAGGCTCACTTATACTAGGCTATTCCAACAAAAAGTCTCTTCCTCTCAAAGAAAAGACACTGTCACATAACCTTACAATTTAGACTGGCAGGACCCTTGAGGTCTCTACTCCAACCTCCTGCTCAATCCAGAGCCAACTTAAGTCAGCTCAGGTTGCTCAGGGTTCTGTTCAGTCAAGTTCTGCTCTTGTATGAGCATCCCCTGAGTCAGACAGAGAGAGGCTGACACCGAACCCAGCCTAGTCAAGTCAGGATGGGTCAACACATTCCAGTGCTTGGACACTCTCACTGCAAAATGGATTTCTTAATGTTCATCAAATTACTCCTTGTCCTTTCTCTGGGTCTCCAAAAAGAGTTTGTCTTCTTTACAGCTCATCAGGAAGCTGAAGGTAACGGTGAGATCTCCCCCCACCACTACCTTTGCCTTTAATCCAGCTGCCCCACTTCCTCACATGCTCCAGTCCCCTAATTGCCTCAGTGGTACTCTAATGGAATTAATCCAGTTTTTCAATACCTTTCTTGTACTAGGTGGCCCTAAATCGGATTGAGATGCAGCTCCAGTTTTCAAACTGGTACAGTTATGATAAAATCCTGTTTTGTGACATTTGGGACACATTTGACACATATTTTTGCCTTAAAAAGTTCAAAATTTTCTTAGGATGCAAAATCCTCTACTGCAAACTGGTCCAGTGGCATTAAAACCAAATTTTACAGCTAGTCAAAAAGAAGTCTGCCATTTTTCACTGAATGAACAAAGTGTGATGGTAAGGAGTTGAAACTGAATTTGTCAGATGTTTTTGGCTGATGAAAACGACACACCTTTAAAATATGTTACATCATTTCAGCTCAGAAACGTCCAAACAAATAGTTTCAATGTTTGTAATAAGATGCTTGTAATAAGTGTAATTTGGGATCGTTTTTGTAAGAGCCAAGAAGGTGAAAGGCAACAGGTTCATAGCACTGGGCAGGGAGAAGAGAAACCTTCTCAGTCATTAGTGGTTGAGGCAGACAGGATTCTGGGGTTCAAAGCATTTTGCTGCCTGCAGGCCCCTTTCACACACTGACATCACTCTCATCTTCTCCTGTGGATGTTATTCCTGTAACTGGGCTGCAGCACTCCCTGAGTCAGACACAGGGACATCATACCTACCTCATTAGGGCAGCCTGATTGAGGCATCTGGGAAGATCTTCACTCCCATCTGACTAAAAACCAATGTAATTTCTAAATTAAACAGTGACAATGGGAGTGAGACAAGGCAATCCATAGTGGGATGCTCTGAAGCATAGCAGTCAGATCCTAGGCATTCCCAATAAATCCACTAAGAAGGGGACTATTGGGTCTGAAATGGAGCAAAAGACCTATCAGAGAAGCTCTGAAAAGCCCTCCCGAAGTATACAATCCATGTTGGATTGATTGAGTCATCAGCTTCAAATCATAAGGGATTTTTTTTTCCACATTTCATCAGGAAAATAAAACAACACACAAAATATACTTTGGGTTTGTTCCAACAGCTTGAATTCCTAATATTTTGGTTATGGAGATGAATGAATCAGCTACACAGTCCTGGTACATGCAGTATTGGGGGCTGACATAGAAATGAGGGTGTGTATGTGTGGCACCTCTTTCCATCCATTCCTGCTCTCAAAGCTCTTAGGAAGATCACCTGGATCCTGAGATGTCCTCACCCTTCAAGGCATTCTGAAACACCTCCATACTTCAGAGAATCCCAGACTGGTTTGAGTTGGAAAGGACTTTAAAGACCATCCCCCTGCCATGGGCAGGGACACCTTCCCTAGCCCAGGTTGCTCCAAGCCCTGTCCAGCCTGGCCTTGGACACTTCCAGGGATCCAGGGGCAGCCACAGCTTCTCTGGGCAACCTGTGCCAGGGCCTGCCCACCCTCACAGACTAGAACTCTTTCCCAACACCCAATCTAAACCTACTCTCTGTCAGTGACTTGCCCCACTGCTGCAGGAGAGCTGTCTCTCTCTCTTTTCCACACTGACAGTGCACGTTTAAAATTTACTGTTGATTTTAACCACAGAAATAAGTCAACCCTCATGAAAATTCATTCTTGAACCTCCTGAAGAAAACCTGAAGCAAACCAAAAGACAAAGTCCTTACCAGGTGGATCCAGAGAGCCCAGCAATATAAGTGGCACAGTCCAAAACTCCGGATTCATAAAGTGCTTTCATGACTCCAGCAAACCCCACCATGGCACGAAATCCACCTCCCGAGCCCAGGATCGCTATGACTGGGACCTGCAGAGAGGAGAGGAACAGGGTATCACCACAGCAGCTCCTATAAACACTTACAAGTGGTAAATAAACATTATATGTCACCGAATCACAGAATGTCCTGAGCTGGAAGGGACCCACAGGGATCATCCAGTCCCACTCCTGGCCCTGCACAGACACCCCAACAATCCCACCCTGTCCCTCAGAGCGTTGTCCAAACCCTCCTGGAGCTCTGGCAGCCTTGGGGCTGTGCCCACTGCCCTGGGGAGCCTGGGCAGTGCTCAACCACCTTCTGGGGAAGAACCTTTTCCTGAGATCCAACCTCTGTCCTCACACAGCTCCAGCCACTCCCTGGGTCCTGTCCCTGCTCACACAGAGCAGGGATTGGAGCTGCCCCTCGGGAGGAGCTGCAGACCCTGGGGAGCTCTGCCCTCAATCTCTTCTTCTCCAGCTGAAGAAGCCAAGTGCCCTCATCTGCTCCTCCTATGGCCCCTCCAGACCCTTCACCATCTCCATGTCCCTTCGCTGGACACTCCCCAACACCTTGAGATCTTTCCTACACTGTGGCACCCAGAAGTGCACTCAGCCCCTGATGGGAGGCCATGCCATGAGTCTGTATGTCATTAACTCACAGCCCCTTCTTCCTCCCAAATTGCTGGATGACAGGAGCACTCTTGGACTGAAGTAGGGAATGAAAGCTCTGCTGATCCTGAGCAAGGGGAGCCAGGAACCAGCCAGCAGCATGGAAGGTTCTGCCAAGCTGGAAAAGTCTGAGAGGGGCAGAGCAGACTTCCTTCCAGCTCCCTCCCTATCTTGCACCAGCAGCACCTCAGGAGGTGCAAACACAAGCAGATGAGAGGGGCTTTGCCCCTCTTGGAGAAAGAAGGAGGGGCACAGGTGCCCAAGGCTGCAGCCTGAGGTCTTGGTCTTTCTACTCTGGAAGAGCAACAGCTCAAGCAGATGCTGTCAGGCTCAAGTGGTGACACCAGTGAGACCCTGGGCTTCCTGACCACGAAGCCTAGTTTGCTGATGGAGGTGGTCCATGGGAAAATAAAGAATCCACCCGACCAAAGTGAAGAACACCTTCATGAAGAGACTTGCCTAATTTAATGAGGAAGATTTCAGACATCAGGATGCAACCAAAGATACTTCTTTTGGGGAATATCTGGGTCGTGGTCAGAAAGAAAATATCACGAGGGATTTGTGCCAGTCAGATTCAGACTGTGGGATGAAATGGTTTTCTCTGAAAACCAGAAGTTGTCTCCTGATCTGCCTGTGGTCCTCACAAGAGGGATTTTAATCCCCTGCTGAAAGGGGAAATCCCCCTGTGCAGACTCCTCCTATTCAGGTTCCTTACAGGCACACAGAAGTAATGTCTGATTCTTCTGGTCAAGGAGTAAAATACATGGTGAGAGTCAAATACTGTCATTCTGACCCTCCTTAGCTTCCTGTCTGCTGCCAAAACATACAGAATTTCAAGTTCAGTTCACTTGTACAGATTTGTGGCACTGCTTCAGACCTGAAAATACTACCTACAAATTTAGTGACTAACCACATCAGGTCTCAGCATCAGTAAGTTGTTGCCCCCACAATGCCCTTTTACTTACAACTTTAATTGCCTGGTATCTGAAGACTTAGAATTTATTTGAAGAAGTCACCACTTGTAGCAAGATTTCTAAACCAAAACATAGTCAGAATTTCTTTAGAATGTCTGTCCTCCTTATCCATAATCCAAAATAGAGAAGATATTAAATTTAGTTATTAAATAAACTATCTGGTTACAAGATCACAAACACTTTTAAAGCAATTCTAACACCAGCTTTAACCCAATTCATATCTTTGTGACAGAGCCAAAAGCAGTAAAAGTTACTAATCAGAAACAGAAGAGAGACAAATATTATTTTGGCCAGGAGTTTAAAAAGACATTTTGTAATAAAAACATCTGATATTACTACATAGCATGAGGACAGTCTCAAATTTACCACTACCTTGCAAAAAACTACCAGACAGGTAACAGGAATTTATGTGGATTTGTACAACTCCTCAGCTACCAGGAGAGAGACAAGCAGACATGGTGACACCATATTAAAAATGTATCTACAGGGGTTTATTTTCTACTTCTTTCCTTCTTACTTCCCAGCCTGACTGCAAGGCTGTTCCCTTCCACTGCACAGTTTCCCCGAGTATCTAAAAAGAAGCAAAATCAGACAAAAATTCACTTGCTACCACTATCACGTGTTTTGGCCTGAGCAAAGGGCCCATCTGGTTCCCAGTTTCCAAAACCCAGAAGAATTTTCCACTCTTCAGTGGTAATAAAGCAACAACCTCTTGGTGGTTACTAAGCATTAAAAGAATGGCACAGCTGGGCAGAAAGGCCCTATCTGATCAAACTGGTAATCTGTCAAAAATCTCCCCGAAAGGCAATTTAAGGTGCCAATAGATGGGATTAGTTATAAGAAAAGATCCACGTGACTCCTGAGTTCTGGTCCTTTCTCCAGACTCCACACTCCAAGCCACGACACTCCCTGGGGACTGACAACGCACTGTCACAAGGACATGACCATGAACAACAACTAAGGAAGTTGAGAGGCTTCCAGTCCCCCAAAACTGCTTATTCTTGATGCAGTAATATTATTTGATCACCCTCATAAGTGTTAGTAATAGAAACCACAGGTATTCCTTGGCACCAGCACTCATCATGAATAGAGAGATAGATATCTATCCAAAAAATGACAAAGCACAGGTAAGGATTTAGGATGTGCCTGTTTTGTTAAGCCAACACCCCAATAGTGGAGCAGCTGCTTTGAACAGAGGAGCAGAGTCAGTAATCACACTTTTAATAATGTACCTTAGGTTCTGAAAGCTCTTTACAACCAACCACTGCCCACTCAACCTGACCAGACACATCCCAACAGGATGGAGATGTTGGTTTGCAGGTGCAAGCCTGGAAAAACCATGTAAGAGCACTTCCAAAGCACCACTGCTCCACCACTCTGCTCATGGGTGAACAGGCACAGGCACAAAGGAAAGTCTGAGTGTCCTTCAGGATGCAGAGAAATCCGTTATGGAGATGAGCAATGAACGGTGGGTGAGGAGAGTCACCGACATCCTGACTGCAAACACTTCCTGTAAGCTGGATCCAGAGGAACCCTGGGCACCACGGAGCCCTGCACTGGGGAGGGTGGAGATACCGAGGGGGACATGGATCAAAGAACCGTCACAGAATTGTTAAGGTAGGAAAAGACCTCTAAGATCATCATGTCCAACTGTGAGCCCAGCACCACCACCATGTTCACCACCAAACCATGTCCTCAAGTGCCACATGGTTTTTGAACACTTCCAGGGCTGGGCACTCCAAACCTCCCTGGGCAGCCCCTGCCAAGGCCTGACCACCCTTTCCAGCAGGAAATTCCTCCTCCTGTCCAACCTGAGCCTCCCCTGGCACAGCTGGAGGCCGTTCCCTCTCCTCCTGTCCCTTGTTCCCTGGGAGCAGAGCCCGACCCCCCCCCGGCTCCCCCCTCCTGTCAGGGGGTTGCAGAGCCAGAAGGTCCCCCCTGAGCCTCCTTTTCTCCAGGTTGAGCCCCCCCCAGTACCCTGGGCTTTGCACAGTAAATAAAACTTTTAAATGAGGAAAACAAATAACTGAAGAGAAGCATCTCCTGCACGTTTAATTCATTTATTTCAGCCCACTGAATAAAGTTCACTTACAGAATAAGTCAAGTGATGAAGGTTCAGAGTCCTTTCCTGCTTTGCAGAGGAAACAGGCAGGTTTCTTAAGGCAGCTTTTTAGCTCCAATTCAGTTTCCAACATGTTTAAGGGCACGAAATGGTAAAATTTGAAATCAAATACACCAATCCTACAAGTTGCCCTCTAGGACAAATAGGGCAGAGGCAGGGGGAAGTGGCTGCAGCCAGAGCACACAGGACAAAGAACCAAGAAGCCACCTCACAACTGAAGAAGGGAGAAAAGAGAGGATACCAAGGCACCCACACTCCTCCACAGACATGCCCTGAACCCCAAGTCCTTTGTACAGAACCAGTGAAACTGGGGCAGAGGTACTAAACCCATTCCAGCACATCAGTAAATTCAAACCAAAAGGGTAAGTGACTCATGTGAAAGTGATGCCGTGAGTCAACAGCAAAAAAGGGAATCGAATCCAGAAGTGTTGGAGACAAAAGCCCAATGCTCTAATCCCTGGCCACACCATCACCCCCCATTCTCCATGGCTGTGCCCATTTGGGAACCACCAGAACCACCGTTTCCTACAGCTGCTCTGCACAGCACAGTGCTGAGGGACACAACTAATTCTGAGCAAAGCAGCTCAGATATCCTCCAAACACACTCCACTGAACATTTTAACAACACTAAATGTTTTGTCAAGACATCTGCACTGTTTTAGGATCCAGGGGACAATGTACTGTGTGGACTGGCTGAGCACCACACATAGGAACATCAAATCATGGAATGGTTTGGGTTGAGAGGGGCCTGAAAGCTCATCCAGTGCCACCTCTGCCATGGGCAGGGACACCTTCCACTAGCCCAGGTTGCTCCAAGCCCTGTCCAACCTGGCCTTGGACACTTCCAGGGATCCAGGGGCAGCCACAGCTTCTCTGGGCAACCTGTGCCAGGGCCTCCCCACCCTCCCAGCCAGGAATTCCTTCTCAATATCCCATCTAACCCTGCCCTCCTTCAGCTTTATCACTCCAGGCCGTTGTACAGCTCCCCTTCAATCAACAGGCACCTCATCTCAGGTGCTGACTGCTCCACCAGCAAACTGGGCAGCAAAATGGCAAGGATTGGGAAACAACTTCTGTTTGAAGAAAAGCAAGCCCTGAAAAAGGCATCTCAATCTTATCTTCCAGTAATGGAGCAAAAAAGCTGAGCCATATTAAATCTCATTTTGGGAATGAGTGATGCAGATGTTTTTATCCAAATACCCTGGAAACACAGTGCACAAAGTCTGAATGCCTGTGGTGGAAAAAAAATGCCATAGGGCATAGAAATGATTATTAAAAAATTGCTCTGCAAATCCAGCCACAGAGAACTGTATGATTTCTTTAAATGATTACAGTATCTTTAGAAAACTGCTCAAAGCAAGAAAAATGATAAAAATAAACTGAGCAATAACACAGGTACAAGAAATCTCCTCCTCTGTGTTTGCAGAATGTGCCTCAGGATTAAGGAAGGAAATCTGCAAGTAGTCACTTCCCCATCTGGGGCTGTCTAATTAATTGAGAGTTACTGAAGTCGCTCAGCATCCCTGCAAGGCACACATGGAGCTACTCACTGAGGAAGCAACTTGGGTGGACTTTGAATAAGTGACTTGTTTAAGATTCATCAAGACTCACAGACAGCTAAGACTACTCAACATGTTCCCTGACTTCATGTTAAGACTCCAAACATCCGAGAAATCCCTCCTGCTATCTTCTACCTGTAGCAATAAAAGTAAAACTACAGTTTAATTTGAACAAAAAGAGGTTTTTTTCATTGCTAGAAGCAGTTAAAAATTCTGACAAGTCAGCTTAGAAATACAGGTTTGGCATTTGAAAAATGGGAGGATCCCACTGCCTCAGTCCTTCCTGGGGTTGATAAACCTACAGTTACTGTCTGGGAAGATGCAATTTAACTGATAAAACTTCAGTATTTGAGGCAGTGAGGGATACCAAGGGAAGATGAGGACAAAAAGAACATGAAATCTTACTTGGCCTTTACAGTAATTCACACACATCACCTGAGGCCCTGAGTATCACTCCAGTTCTAACTGGATCCTGGCAGAATATCCACACCCTTTCTGAGAAAGGGACTATTCTGCTATAGAATAGACCAGTGTCACATTTACAAATACCTACTCTGGTAAGATCTGATGTGTTAAATAAATAAAATTAGATAAAAATAACTGAAGTGAAAATTAAGAAACCTTGAAAATGTTCCTTCACAATACAATTTATCTCACTACAAATAAAATATGCCCAATACTTGTTAAATTCTTTCATCTTCCTCCGAAAGCTCACACAAGCACCATTTTACAAAGCAAGACAGAGTTGGCAGTTCAAAAGTATACAACAATAAAACATTTACCAGCTGCTCAAAACTTCATCGAAATTTAAAAGGAATTCTTCAGTGTCAGCTGCAAGAGACTGTCACATTCTGCTTATATTAAAATGCACAATGGCAATGAATTAGTCAACCCAAATTAATTCATGCCCCACATACACACAGTGTTCCCATCGCAATTCTGGGAGCAGAGCAAGGAAGAAAGAGGAGGATGGAAAAGGTGCTACAAAATCAGTGGATCTCTACCAGGTGTCTCCTTAATTAACTCTAAATAATGCAGTGTTTTATGAAATCACTGAAGACATCAGCAGGGGTTGGCACCCTCCCCCTCACTGTGATGTGAGGCCCTGGCACAGGTTGCCCAGAGAAGCTGTGGCTGCCCCAGCCCTGGAAGTGTCCAAGGCCAGGTTGGAACAACCTGAGCTAGTGGAAGGTGTCCCTGCCCGTGGCAGGGGGTGGAAGGAGATGGGCTTTAAGGTCCCTTCCAACCCAAACCATTCTGGGACTCTCCAAGTCTCTAATGTGACCCAAGTCACCATTGTTAAAGCTGCAGTTCCTCATGTTATCAAGGAAATAAACTTCACAATCCTAATCCAATAAAGCAGGCTGAAGGAAAAGAAGAAAGGGAGAGAATAAAATGATTTCTAAGCTGATTCTAAAATTAAACCAGCTCATTTCCTGCCTAATCTTTTAATATGAAGGTCATAGAGCACAGGCTGGGTACTGAGCATGCAGGGGCAAATTCTGCCTTGGGTGAGTGCCCACAGCCATCCCAGGCTTCTGGAGCAGCAGATATTTCACACACCCTCAAGGCATTTTGCAGATGGCAATCTCCCCTCAGAGCCAACACCTTCACAAAGCATGGAATTCCAAAGGGAAAAGTTAAGAGCAGTTTGTTTAAGGTGCCAGTGCAAATGAATCACAGAATCTCAGAATGGTTTGGGTGGGAAGGGACCATAAAGCCCATCCAGTGCCACCCCCTGCCATGGGCAGGGACACCTTCCACTAGCCCAGGTGGCTCCAAGCCCCATCCAACCTGGCCTTGGACACTCCCAGGGATCCAGGGGCAGCCACAGCTTCTCTGGGCAACCTGAGCCAGGGCCTCCCCACCCTCACAGGGAACAATTTCTTCCCAATATCCCATCTAACTCTCCTTTTTTAGTTTAAAACTATTCCCCCTTGTCCTTAAACATTAATCTATAAATTTAGAGCCAAGAAAAAATTACTGTCCAGCCTAAATATTGTATGTTCATAGCAGAAAAAGAGGTTTTTCCACTTCTATAACTTGTCTTCGCATCAAATCCTTCCACCTCACACACCTCAGTCACTCCTCTGAAAGGCAAATGCAGCATTCCAAAGGTGATGCTAAACTTGGTGTGAACTCTCCAGACTTACATCACGGGCAGTGGTCAAGTTCTTGCTGTTTTCCTCTCCTAGGAATGATTTGATGCTGTGCATGATGTTATCTCTCCTCTGCTGCCGAAATTTCTTCTCCTCATCGCACAGGGCCATGCTGAACCGGAGATCTGTGGAAGAGCTGGTTTGCAAAAGGGACAGCCTTTAACAAGAGGCATAATTCCAGAAAAGAATTCAAAGTATCACCCTGGGAAACGAGTGGAAGTACGCAGAAATTCCTTATCAAATTTAATAAGATGAAATAAATCATATTATTCGTGCTCAGCTGTTTCCATGGAGTGACGGATGCAAAGTATAATGGAATACTGTGTCTCTAAAATATGAATTTTATTTAGAACTCATTAAAAAACAAATAAAAACAGCAAATGAATTCATCGCTCATATACAATTATAAATCTGCAGCACAAATCGTACTGGCAGGTCACAGGAAAAACTCAGCCCTTTTCCCCAGCTCTTTCCACAGTGTGCTCTCAAACATGTACACAAGGCTGTGTAAGCACTTCAATGCTGTACCTAAATAAAGCTGCAATTTCAGCTCCCCCTTCCCATTTCAGGTATCAAGGCAGGACAAACAGTCTGACAGCCCAGTTGGACCAGTTAACTCCTCCCTGAGCCTGTGTCACTCCAAGGGTTTGGACCCAGTCACCTCCCAGCAGAGGAGAGTGCATAAACCCCTCCTGCTCTCCACCTCATTGAACTTCCCATCCTTGTAATCACACAATCACAGAATATCCTGAGCTGGAAAGGACCCACAAGGACCATCCAGTCCAGCTCCTGGCCCTGCACAGACACCCCAACAATCCCTCCCTGTCCCTCAGAGCATTGTCCAAGCCCTCCTGGAGCTCTGGCAGCCTTGGGGCTGTGCCCACTGCCCTGGGGAGCCTGGGCAGTGCCAACCAGCCTCTGGGGGAAGAACCTTTCCCTGAGATCCACCCTGACCCTGCCCTGGCACAGCTCCAGCCATTCCCTGGGTCCTGTTGCTGTCACACAGAGCAGAGATCAGAGCTGCCCCTCAGGAGGAAGCTGCAGACCCTGATTTACCCCTATTTACTAAGCTAATTATTAGTCCTATTAGATTTATTATTAGCTTTACTATTTAGTAAGACAAGCTAAAAATGCTTGCTGTGCCTACTTTGACACATTAGGTACCAGGCAGCATTTGTCCAGTGCTTTATGAAAAACATACAACAGTGAAATGGATCCATTTAGACTCAGATTTGTCAGACTTCTAAAAAACTTAGTTAAAAAAAGTCATGGAATTAATAAAAAGAGGGAAAAAGGCTGCCTAGAAGCAACATTCCACAAAGATATATATGACACTCTGACTCCACAGTCTCCATGTATATCAGAATAGCAGCAGAACTTGATCAGACCCTTTAGTTTAACATATTCCAGAGACTAAGAGCAAATGGAACCAAGCATCTTCTGCTTATTTAATGTCAGAGATAAGAAATACTTGTAATGTTCAAAGCCTAGATGGTTTAGGGGTGGTCTCAAGGCCCACCCACAGCTGCATCTTTCCCAGTACAAAACAAGGAGCAGAAATTATCCCTGGGGGATGTTTGTCAGTCTCCAGAGTCATTAGGAAAGAGGGCAATGCTTACAGTGCTCAGTGCTGCTATTTATAGTTACACATAAAAAAGGATTCTTTAAATGCCTTGCTCTCAGAAATTAGTTTTTAGACTTAAAATATATTTTTTCTGATTAAGCCTCAATGTGATTTTTGATCTTTTTCACCAGGACAGGTGAAAAAAGAGGGAGAAAGACAGCTGGAGAGGGGGAAGAAAGGGAAAAATAAAGGTAGACGTCTGCTGAGCCTTACATGTGGTGAAATCCTGGCCCTAAATCTTCACCTTTGCCTTCAGCACCGTGTGGTATTAACATTTAAATAGAATTTAGGGGCAGGTCTGTAAGGAGCAGCCATATATGCTGAAAGTTCATGTGGGATGAAAAGTTCCCATGGAAGGTAAAACAACGAGGATAAAGCTGAACCTGAGGTCTGTGGGTTTATGAGAGAAAAAGCCCTTGAGAAGGAAGGCATTTAACAGAAACCAGGGTGAGAGATTCTTACAGGATGGCCTTGGGCCTGCAAACGTTTGGAAAGGTCACACCTATTATTCCAAATAATGGTGTTCAGCCAGTGACAGAATTACAATGTGAAAATAAACCTGGCTTAAAATCTCCTCACTTTTACTTGGTATTTCTGTGCTAAAACAAGGAGGTTTTGCCCTCTATCTAACACGTTTTTAAGCAAATCACACCAGGCACATGTGAGATTCTTGGAGTTGTCCTGTGCAGGACCAGGAGTTAGACTTTGATGATTCTGTGGGTCCCCTCCAACTCTGGATACTCCAGGATTCTCTGAAAATTCTAATGAACAGATTAAAATAAAAAATAAAAAAAAGTGCTGCTAATACATTTTCCACTTTTTTTTAAATAGGAGATACTCACCATACTTCAAGAGACAATTCCAAAGTCATTTCTGTGACCTAAACAAGAAAGATTTAAATACAGTTACACCACTTAAGAGTTAAAAAGACACAAATACACCTGGAACATAATCTATTGCCATCAGAATATTCCTCTAAATCACTTTTTTAAAGGAAGGATATTTCCAACATACATGAATGAATTTCTTTTCTATGGATTTTTTTGTTTTAAAGCACACAATGTGTTTCCAAAACACACCACTAGCACTGAATACAGTGGAAAATGTTGCTCAGGTGCTGACTTCCATTCATCAGATCCCATTGCCTTGGCTTTCTTCCATTGATAATCCCTGGCAGAGCTATTCATCTTTGGCCTGAAGGGATCTAATTCTCTTCACCCACTTGGGATTCTTTGTTTCTCCTGCCACTGGTTTCCCAGTTCTGAGCAAACCTCATACTCAGCCTGTGTCTGAAACCCAGAACTGTGAGGACTCTGTGTTCCACATGAGCCACCAAATGCCTTTCCACAGTCAAATATGCTTTATTTATCCATCAGACACACTGCATACAAGTTTCTGAAAGATGCAGTAAGTGTCACTACATAATGATTTCACTTGCAAACCACAAGCTATGGTTTGGTCTGCTCTGCCTTTCACAGAGCACTTTAAGGGGTTGCCTGCAGGCAAAAGGCTAAAAAATTATTATTGAAGCACGTTAGGCACAATCCAAGAGTAGGAGCTGCTCAAATTAAGACAGAATGGAGAGGCATTTTCACCTCTCTGAGCAGCTTCCTACACAGGAGCCACCTCAGTGCAGCCTTGCAGTAACAGACTCAGCACCTAATTTCACTCTCCTCCAGATCTACATGGATTATCCTCCTTGTTTGTGGCATGTGATCACCAGGAACAGAGCTAGAACCCCCCAGACTGAACATCTGCATGCCACTCAGAGCAGGGAAGGGTCTGGAGTGCAAAGCTGCCTCTGGCTCCCACATCCCAGTACCTGCCCAAGGGCCAGGAACAACCTGAAATGGGAATTGCAAATGAACAGGGAGGTGGGAGAAAGAAGAGGCAAAGGAATAACAAAGGGAGGACATGAAGGAACAGAGTGAAGAGTCATTTAGGAATCACTTCAAAGGCAGGGTAACAATTACATTATTCCCCCACCTGACATTACTAAGTTAGAAAGCACTTCAGGAACCACACAGTGATCCAACGCTTAAAAAATATGTATGAAACAAACCCTTGGAGGGGAACATTCCAATAGGGAATATCATGCCATTTTCTATAGCTTACACAGACTGGCACAGAAATCTCAGGAATACATGTTATGTATTCATTGTCTCCATCAGGCTCAACCTGACTTCATGTTCCCCTACTATTTATTTATAAATTTCGGAGTGTATTTGGCTTTTTTTTACACTGATTTTTCCCCCTAAAACTCTCTACCAAGCTTTGCTGAACGCTGATGAGAAGTTAAAACTGATGTGTAACATGGGAAGGCCTTGTATTACTGGAATGAGCTTTGTAAACTGTGTCTTCAAAATGTATTCATCAGCTCTTTCTCACCACCTCACCTCATGCCTGGCAGAACCAGGGCCTGCACTCAGCCTACACCCTGCAAGTCCAAGAGTTACTGAAGCATTTAGTTAAATAAATATGCAGAAACTTCCAAAAACACAGCAATTTTAAAAAGAAAAAAGAAGAAGGGTATCAAAATTCCAACCAGCCTAAGGCTAAGTTAAATTAAATGCTAAATCTTCCATAGGAAACTCTCTGGTTTCCAATAAATAGGCCTTAAACCAGTTATTTGTTGTAAGCACACTTTTAAAGTTATGTCACATGGGAGAAAGCAGAGCAGTCACAAATCAAGACCTCTGATCATGTAATAAACCTCAGCCCAACATAGAAATGCAGACAGGATTCAAAAGGTGTCCCTGCCCATGGCAGTGGGTTGGAACTGGAGGAGCTTTAAGGTTCCTTCCTTCCAACCCAAACCATTCCATGATTTTAACACATGCAGAACAAGCTCAATTCCACACAGATTTGACAACAGTTTCCAGGAGTTACTGTGCAGGCAGACAATCCCTGTTGAAGTGATTCCATCTGGTTTGCAGACGTGTTTAAGGAGAATAATCCAATTATTGCACTGCTGCGTGTTAAGCAGGGCTGTGTTACAACAAGCCACTCACAGAAAGTGAAACATGTAATAATGAAAGAATTCCTGACAGCTTTGTGAAAGCCACAGGCATCAGCAGGAGGGGCAATGCACTGACCAGCAAACCCTGAGTAACCTCTTACACTGAGGCCACAAAACTAAACTGCATCAAGTGGAGAAGGAACTGGTCTAGCAAGAGAAAGTTTCAAACTAGGCTTTTAAAGAATATTCTCTCAGCAAGGACACACAAAACAGTGGCATAGTTTTGCTCAATTCTTCCCCCAGCAGGGTTGTAAGAAGATAAATACAGTGCCTTCAGGGTGACAGTGAATGCTTAGAAAACTTCAGACCTTTCAGCTTCAGAGCAGGGTATGCAGAGAACAACCCTCACCCGAGATGCCTCTGTGTGCCCCCAAATATTCAGCTATTTCCTGACTGAAAGGCTGCCACCCTTACCCCATGAGATATCCTAATCCCTTCTGGAATTCATGAAATAGCTGAGTATTAAGAAAAAACATACATACATAGTACTGAGGGAACAGAAACAGCCCTGGATCTCCCTTCCATCCAGGAATGAACATCAAGAGCAGGCCAAGGGTTTTCCTTACACTCCAACAGAAACGTTCTACATCCTGGTCTACACAACAGTTCAGGTGTTCTTTGAAGAACCTCCCACCCTGTTCAGAGCTGCCCCAACAAAGGCAAAGCCATGAATGTCCCAACTTACATCATTGAAAGTCAACTGGACCTCCTTCTTTTCTCCCAGTTTCAGAGAAGAGATGGGAAATGTGGATGTGCCAAGAGTCTCGTCCATAACGTAGTTGGCATCCATCAGAGTAACCTAGAAAAGACAGCTGGGTATTCAATTCTACTTCAATAAATCCCTTTTTAATGCCATAAGAGTAAAAAAAAAAAAAATTATATGGAAAAGGAATGGGCTTAACCCAAGCCAGTCAAAGCCAGAGCCAACAGACACGTTCTTTAAAACAGAATAAACTCATGTCCAGTGTAGGTGGCACCTCCAAGGTACTCAACTGCAGGAGTACACCAGGACTATCTGCAAAGGGTTTTTCATCCAAGCACCTTTCTGTCAAAAAATCTCCCCATCTTTCTAAGCAGGCATAATAACTTCACATTCTAAGTACAAAACACACAATTACTTCGAATTTCCCGTCAGTAAAACTTCCCTGTGGAGAAATTTCCATAGTTTTCAGTGTGATAGACCAAAAAACAAACTTTTCACTGAAGACGGAATCCACACATCCCGGCCTTGGATGTACAGACCAAGATTTTTAGATAGAATCCATACAGAATATGCCAAGTTGGAAGGGACCCACAAGGATCATTGAATCCAACTCCTACATCCCAGCCTTGTGTGTACAGACCAAGATTTTTACAGCACTGACTTGGCAAAGTGTGCAGCATTCCAAAAAACACAAACCTTTTCTCTGTATCCAGCCAGACCTTCAAGTCTCTTCTCCTACTCTCCATGTCAGAGCACATACCTTCCAAAATGTGATGATCTCCAAAGATGTCTGGGGATACCACAGAACACCATCCCATGCTTTTGCTCTAATCCATGTGGATCTAGGTCTGGCAGTCTGGTTTTTTTCCCCAGGGGCTGCCTTCCAAGTCCTCAAGTAAGATATTCAGAAAGCATTTCAGTCTCTATTTAAATGAGTTCTTCAGACTCCTTTGACTTACGGTTTTTTCCACTTTGTGGAATTATATCTTCTAAAATATCATATGTTTGTGGCTTGGATCATATCTTTTGCATTAAACAAAAGGAATCAAGATACAATCACTTGATGTTCCTACATCTGGGTTCAGCCTCTTCTCAGCTACAAAGAATCTTCTTCATCCTGTGCCACAAGCAACCCTTTGAAATGATGAACTGTATTTTAGGGCAGAACTTATTATTTTAATGGCATCTACATCCTGTTTCCTCATAGAACTTTACTCTGCAATCTCTGAGGAACTGTCTCTTAAAACCAGCAGGAGAAACTTCTCAGTGGGATTTTGAAGAGCTTCAGAGGGAAAACTGCACTTGGGATAGAGTTAAAGGTGTAGATTAAAATAATCCATGGAGTCACAAAGATTGTGGAGTCTCTGTTAGCTTGGGAATTCACAAAGAGGTTTTGGGTGGGGAGGTGGCTTTTCAGATTGGCATTCTGACACTGCACTCCATGCAGAATCCAAAGGGTCTTCCCCACACATCAGCAGAGCCATAATTAACCATTCTCACATGGTATCACCTGCTGTTTGCTGACCAGCAACAGCCTGCACTTATTGTAAAGTTCCATTTCCAATTTCTACTTACAATCAATCTTGTTGTGCTTGTGACCTCAATAATTTTATCCTTTCCAAACCCTTGAACGAAATTTTGTACACAATCAATTCCAACCCTGCCAGGGAAGCTGCCTGAGGGTAAGGGAGGGGGCAGAGGATGGCCCAGGCTCTGCTGGGGGGGCCCAGCAATGGCACAGCAGGAACGGGCAGGAACTGATGGCCAGGAAGTTCCCCCTGGACAGGAGGAAGAACTTCTTTGCTGGGCAGTGCCCCAGCACTGACCAGGCTGCCCAGGAAGGGGCTGGAGTCTCCTCCCTGGGGATATTCCAGACCCCTCTGGACACAGTCCTGTGCCGTGTGCTCTGGGATGGCCCTGTTGGAGCAGGGAGGTGGGACCAGATGAGCCCCTGTGGGCCCTCCCAACCTGACCCATCCTGGGATTCTGTAACTACAAGCAGAATCTGACCCAGTGTTTATACAATGCCAGTAAACCCAAGGAATTTTCTTATTTTCTATTCCTCAGTTTACCATTTTGCTCATCTTTTGAAGATCTTGAGAGCTGTTACTGACCACATCAATTATTTAACCAGCTGTAGCTCCTGCAGATCCTCCAAAAAAGCACAAGATCTGCAAAAAAGAGGGGTAAAATTCTTTGCCCCAGAGATTCTGTCAGAATCCATAAAAGTGGAATTGAAACAATTTTAGTTCCCATACTGCAACAAAAGCAGATGAACCCAAGTTCTTTTCTTCCTGGCTTTTTCATGAAGAAGCCAGAATCATTCCACTCCTTTCTAATTCCTGCTATCTATTTGCCTGACTTGTTCTTAGAAGAGATTTCAAACCTTTCTCAAGTTTTCTGTGGCCAATTTGTACCTCTACAACTAAAAAAATCTGGTAAGAATGCCCTCAGCTGACTGTTGCAGTTGACCCAGTTGGTGGCAGCTGTTTTGGGTGATCTGCTTCCTGCAGAGCTGTGGTGGAGCCATTGGGAATCCCCTCAGATTCCCTGTCCCTGGATGTATATGACAGTCCTTCATGCTCCACTGAGCCAGCCATGGGATTGTGGAGCTTATCCCTCTCCCCAGAACACAAGGAGCTTGTAGGAAGCATAATTCCATTTCAGACCCAAGAGATGATGGTCACAAGGCCAAGGAAAACCTTCACAGGCTACAGCTCTGTCCCAGTTGGCCAATTCAGACTGAACTCCATAAGCTTGGCTCAGAAGACTGCACGTGTCAGGGCCATCCCATAGGAAGAACAGAGCTAACAAAGGACCAGAGACAACCTTAAACGCTTGCCATGCCCACTTATAAAATACTCAGATGTAACACTCCCCTTCTGTACACAGCCTGGAAAGGTTTAACACCCCGAGATTAAACGCTGGCTTAACCAACAAGCCTGCACATAGAGTGGTCCCCAGAACAGCACTGGGTGGGCTCCCAGCCCTTGGCTCTAGGCATGGAGGAGACAGCAGAACCACACTTGTGCTTTCTGTCTCCTCAGAGAGAAGCAAAGAATGGGCAGAGACTTGACTTTAGCCCCACCTATTCCCTGCCTGTAATAGTTGAATCAGTGCAGGAAGCAGGGAGTAAATGATGGCTGAGGTGAGGAATAGCAGGTACTATCCCTCAGGAGCAGTCCAAGAGGTGACTCACAGGCATGTTTTATAATGACTCTCAAGGCTACTCCTTGAATAATTCAATTTATACAACACCAGGGCTAAAAGAAAAAGGGGGGATCTTGAGACAACAGATGCCACACACGCACAAGCTGCTGCGTTTCACCTTTCCAGGCACTGCTCCCTTCCACCTTCCCAGTTGCAGCTCAGCCCTGGGATTTACCTCCAGGACATTCTCCAGGTTGGGGTCCAGGATGAACTCAAAGGTCTCGTTCCACACGGGGTTCACGTCGTTGTTGAAATGTTTCGTTCTCTTCCTGCAGTCGGGGGCGGTCGGGATGAACAGCTCCACGTAGGGGTCTGGAGTGTCAACTGCGGGCAAAACACACGCTCAGGGCAGGGAAAACTCAGCTTTGGGTTGTAATAGTTGTTGGTGCAATTATGTGAAACCACAGATCGCCTCCTGGTCTAGGACAGAGAAGTGTGCAGCTATACAAGTCACATAAATATAACAACGGGAATGATACAATGATATTAATCTCCCAAAAAGAAACAGGAATTGGGATTTAGTAGAGGAGGAGAAAAGCCTTGCACAAACAGAATGGCACTAGGACTGAGGCAAGTTTATTGGGAACATACAAACAACTGCCAGGCAAGTTTTTAAAAGTTTTCATTTCTTCCTCTCTTTCTAGCCTTTAATTTCTTTGGCTTGTGCCACACAAGTAAGTATCCCACAAAACAATGAAAACAAGCAGTTTGATCCAGAGTTTTGGATCCTCTTTCACCTTTGCTGGTTTGGGAGTGATGGAGGCAATCAGTGTGCTGCAGGAGAGCTGTCCAGATGTGAAACCACTGCAGCCACCACGGCTTTGGGCGGGTCACCACGGAACCAAGACCTTATTTACACAGGATATTGGAATGACAGCTGTGCACAACACTGACTGGAAAAGGAGATATGGCAACTACAGCTGAGCAGAATTATCAGGGGGAGAAAAGTACACATTGACAGAAGCCATCGGATGTGTCTAATAATAGTCATCCCTGAGGGCAAGGAATGCATTCCTGGCAGCCCTAAAAATCCACTTTCCAACAAGTCAAAGCTTGTAGTTTTTTTCTCTTCAGTGAGGGGTTTTTTCTGTCAAATTAGGCCAAGGCTCATGATGTCCTTCATGGTAGATTTTTCTAAAACATTGCTCAGATTTCAAATCAAACAGTCTTTGGGGGGAAAAAAAACCCCACAACCAAACAACCAAAAAAAGGGCTTTCTGAAACCACTCAGGAGGTTTGGAATATGTACCCAGGCAAATTCTATTCAATTTTATTCTAATTAAACTTCTCAGGAGTTTAATTAGCCAACTGCTGCTGGTCACACTGCTCCCTGAATAATGAACAAGCAGCTCTTTACAGTTGGGGATCAGCATGGAAAGCCTTAAAATAGCAATCCTTGTTACCTCCTATGGAATTATGGCTGATCTTGTCTCCTTTTTAATGTCAGGGGAACAGGGGGAGCAACCCCCAGTCACCTCTCCCTGGCAGATGTTACAACCTGCCAACTTCTACATTCTCTCTTTTCAACCACCACACAAAGCTGTGCCAGAAAGAAGGGAATCCTTCTTGAAAGTAAACATCCACCAAGTCAGAAGTGACACGGTCTCATCTGCTAAGTCTGGACATCAAGCATCACTTTGGCAACAAACACACACACTGGTTCTGCCAAGAGACTGAACTTGGCTACAAAAACTTGGGTTTTTACACAAAATCACAGTGCTGAACAGAGCTCTGGGCAAAACATTTATCTCCATTCAGTTTTTCGTGTCATTACATGAACCGCCTTATGTTATAAAAACCTAATTTTTTTTTACAAATACAATCCCCAAATGGTTTCCTCTCCATATTCAAAACCCCAAAACACATGGAAATCTCAGACCTCTGGCACAGAGATGCCATTACTAACTTCCTATCAGGCTAAACGTGAGGCAGAGAACAACTAAACTTAGAAAAGTCAGCCTTGGTAGTTCAGCATTGACAAGCCACCCCCTCACCTCCGTGCCTTTATTAGCTTTTAACCCAAGGCAAAGATTTAATCATCTGCCCTTTCATGTTTCAAAGTTTATTTTGAGTTATTTTCAGTTAAGAAAATAAAAATCTATTCTTTTGTAACTTCCTTCTTCAGATGAAGAGAAAAAATACACTGGAACGCTGCATGCTGTGATTAAGATATTGCTATAAGCTATATTATATTAATCAAAACCTTAATCCTTATTATTGGATGGGGACCAAAAAGCTAGATACCAGCAACCTGGCAAGTAACATGTATTTCAAAACATTAAAGTTGTCAAAGGCAGATTAAACAGTGTGTGCCCTTTTCCATGGATGTTTTTATTCCTGCTTGTGCACTTGCCAATTGATTTGCCAGGTAATGTTAAAAAAAAAACTTATCTGAAAATGCAAGTAAAAACAGCTTGATTACTGCTGTTATCACAGAATCTCAGACTGGTTTGGGTGGGAAGGGACCATAAAGTCCATCCAGTGCCACCCCCTGCCATGGGCAGGGACACCTTCCACCAGCCCAGGTGGTTCCAAGCCCCGTCCAGCCTGGCCTTGGACACTTCCAGGGATCCAGGGGCAGCCACAGCTTCTCTGGGCAACCTGTGCCAGGGCCTGCCCACCCTCACAGGGAAGGATTTCTTCCCAACATCCCATCTATCCCTGCCCTCTGGCACTGGGAAGCCATTCCCTGTGTCCTGTCCCCTTCAGGTCTTGTCCTAAGACCCTCTCCAGCTCTCTTGGAGCCCCTGTAGATACTGCAACACTGCTACCCATATTTTGATTTTAAAAGGAAGAATCTTTGTGGTTAATGGGTCAAAAGCTGATGTTTTGCAAGTTTAATCAAGACAAGAGAATTATCTATACCTGAGATATAGATATATCTGCACTTGATGATCTTAAAGGTCTTTTCCAACCTTAACAATCCCATGTAGAGACAACCCTATCAGGGAACTGCTCTTTTTTTCCTGCTCCAGTACTTGAAATAGAACCACAGACTTAAAAGCAACAATATGTAAGGATTTGTCCTTGTTCCTCAGGAGACTTCTGAGGAAAATGAGGTTTTTGTACACTCAGCCTTGCTCCAGGCTAATCCTTACACAAGTGCTCTCCTGTGATTCCTCTGCCACAGCATCCCAACGTTAGAGCACAGGGAACCCTTGGAAGGATTTCCAGTGGCCACATGCATCCCCACAAGATGGGATAATTCCACATCCCTCTTTTCCTGGCACTTTTTGGCTGTTTACAATAAGTGCAACTGAATGTCCTGGAGAGCTTCAGAGGGAACAGCACAGGGAAGGCTGGAACACGGGGACCAGAGGGATTCCTCTGGGACAAACCAATCTGAACTGACAATTCAATACCTTAAACCCCAACTGCACACTCAAAAATAAACCTAAGAGTTCCAGCACTGCTGCCAACGAGGGTCCTGCAATTAGCAGCTGAAAGCTGTATGTACCCTAAAGCTAATTAACAAAACATCCATAATCGTGTCAACTTCCAGCATCCTCCAGGGGCTGAACACACATTTCCAACAATAAAAGCAGAGTCAGGATCTACACTGCTGTTTTTAAACAGCTTAGGAAATGGCTGAGAGGTAGAAAGTAAGGACTCCATGACTTTGCCTGGTTTGATTTATCTCCTGGTTAAGTAATTGCTATAGGATTTTCCCTTTAAATTACATTATGAATCACCAAGTAAAACCCACAATGGACAGTAATTAGGGTCAAACACTCTCACATTAAAAAATGAGTAATGGTTTAACAATCTGTGTGTTGAAGAAACCTGTAAAGTCTTCTACACTGACTGGAAAGCATTTGATCTCATGCTATTAATTTGATGAGATGACTGTCAGCAGGCCCCTATATTAATATAATTAATATTTCAGATATATAATTCATGTTTTAGTCATTTCAATTATTTCAACAGCATTAACAGACATGAAGAAACTATAGAAAGCCTGTTCAAATATAAAATACCAAGGATGAAGCCAATACCATCGCACATTAAAATTTATCTTATTTGTCCATCAAAAGTCAAAAGAAAAGTTCTTCAAGTATCCCAAAGCCTGTTTTGCTGTAAAAAATTCCACACCACAAGGATTTGACTCTTTTTCCACATGAGCACGTCACAGACACCCGTGATCACAACGGATATGAAATAAAACTGTACGAGCTTTAATTTCACTTATTATATGCACCACCATTAGAAAAACCTCATCTGGATCCAGATTTTTTGGTCCCGTGATCTCCAGATATCATTTTTAAGCAATTATGGGAATATTCCAGCAAGTCCATGGCAGAACTTCCTTAAAGAACTGTGTTAGTTTGGTTGATTGGAGCATTTTGCTTTCTGGTTAACCATTATTATAATTAATACATGGCAATATATTTTATATTGATATGGATTATTACATATATAGCAGTTACCATATATATTATACAAATACCAATATATCAATTATGTGTAATATTGGTGTGTGTATATATATAAAAATGATAATAACCATTAATTTATCCACCATTAAGTGCAATCCCATTCATAAAACCTCACTAGGTCCCAAATGACCATCTTTGTCTATTTTCCACCTTTTTTTTTTGGCTTCCTGCATTACAGCACAGCTTGTTTAGCACAAAATCACGCTGCAGCTGAGCAGCCTGACTGAGGCCAAGCTAATATTGGGAATTGCTGGATGACCTCTCCCTCTTCCAAGGGGGAGGAAGCTAAACAACAACTGAATTGCTATTCAAATAGTGAATTTTACAGGGCTCACTGGACAAGATGCTTCACAGTGGCTTGAAAATACGATTTGGTCTCTCTGCCACAGTCAGGTGAAAACGTAATGAATTGTAAAATCATGGGCTTTCCCAGTTTCATGTGACTTTCCAGTTTTAAAAAAGGGAATTCTTAAAAATGGTACTTACTAATAATTGTCAAGTACCAATGATTAACATTTCCCCAAAACCACATTAACAAATCAGTGAGTTATTAGATTTGGCTTAGCCTTGCCCTGTTCCACCCCAGTGAGAGACTAACAAAGGCCTGAAAAAGATGTCTCCAGTGTTCAGGAGAACACGGGCACCGGGAATTGATTAATTAAGAAAGGAATGGAAAGAAGGAATGGAAAAAGGCAGAGCCACAGGATCCCACACAGGGACCAGGAGCAGGGCCCCCCATTCTCACGGAGCAGATACCTGAGAGGCTCCAGAGGAGGGGGTGGATTATTTGCTGCCTGTGTTTCAGGTATTACAGGGACTGCCAAGCTTTAGGCTCTGGGGATTTTGCAAAGGGGATGATGCAGGGTGAGATTTCACGAGCGGAAGGTG